ATATTGGTGCATTGCTCATAAACCTGATGTAGGATTTGCCTATCTCTAGAGGTTTCCTGCCTGATAGAGCTGAAGGTGCACACAATGCAGAAAATGCCAGCTGTTCAATAGAGAAACAATGCTCCTCTTGGGAAAAGGGAGAGGAGAGGAGAGGAAAGGTAGATGTAGGAAGCAGGGAACATGAGCACCAGAGCCATTTGTCTCTGTCACCACCCCCTCCCGCTTCTCCTTTTCTCTGTGTCCTCCTCCTCACTTTTCCCATCTCTATCACTCTTTCTTTCCATAATGTCTTGTTTTCTCCCTCCTTTCCATGTGTCTCAGTTGCTCTCAATCTGATGAGGCTGCATCATGGTGATGCATGTTGACAATCAGAGTTAATTGCTGATCATGTGAAATTTGATATCTGGTATTGTCATGGGCTATGTTGAAATTGAAATTTAAAAGTCATAGCCTCATATGATGAAGGGTGCATATGATGAAGGCTGTATCTTTTCAAATTTGTTGGATTTGATTCTATTTTTAGTTTTCAAAATCAGTATTTAATATCCTTGGTCAAGGTTATTTTTTTTTTTTTTGTGGCTGTGTGATGGTGTTTCAAGCGATTCCCCAGGTCAAAGTAGGGCAGGAGAGCCTGGCACCAAGTCAGCTTCCTGCATGAGTGACCTGAGGAAACACTGTGTGTGTCTGTTTGTCTGTGTGTGTGTGCGTATGTCTGTGTGTGTGTGAGTCTCCCCGCCCTAGAGCAACCATAGAGCAACCATAGAGGGGGAGGAGCAAAATAAACACGCTAGTGAACGAGCGATTGGGAAAGAGCAGAGGAGTAAGAATAGGGAGTTAGCATCTGTTGTTTCTGGCAGCTGAGCTGCACTGGACTCATTTTAATGCACAAAAAATATTTTTTCCCTCATTTCCTCTCTGTAGTAGACAAATACTGCATACCCCAACCACCCCCACCCCCCATCCCCCCTCCCACACACACACACACACTTTTATTCATGCACACTCTGAATACTGCACTCTGGCACTCTCTCTCCAACGTGGAGCTGGTTTTTTTTCAGCATCGCCGCTCTTTTTCTTCATGCACATCCCTGGATTCTGAGAATCAAACCTCTTTTTTTTAGCTTAGTCAAACTCTGATCTGAAAGCTACGGTACCGGCATCACTTTGTGGACGTTGAGGTTGTCTATCTCCCACCGGTGTGTGAGTACAGCCAAGACAGAGTTAGACTGATTTACAGTTTGATGCCTTGCCTCTAGTAATGTCTGTTTTGATGGATGTGACTTTTTCAACTTTAGGTGTTTGGTGACATGCGAGATATGCTAAAGGAAAAGAAAAAAAAATTGATGAGTGACTATAAACTTTAGCTCTATCAGCAGAGCCTTGTTGTTTAAGGATTCATAAAACAAAAGAAATGGATACAAAAATACATAACATCTCAAATTCTGCTCTCATGAGTTCATCCTTTTCAGTGCATTTTGTTTCTAAGGAATCCTGAGTAATAAAATCTGCTCTGTAATTATTCCCCGAACAAAAAATAAAAGAACAGATTTTCACTCTGTTCATATTCTAACTTTTTTTTGTCAATCAGATATACTCTAGCTGCTCTCCATCAAAATTGTACTTGTTTCCACTTTTTCTCCTCATTTTTTGCATCATTTTTCTGCATCCCTTTCTCCTGTTGTTTTTTTATCGGTTAAATGCTGATGATATGAAAGTTCCAGTCTTTCGGTTTAGTTATTCTGACATGGAGATTTATTTTAAAGCCTATAAAACCAAAGTGGAAAAATGTATCAGTTTTTACACTGAATACAGTAGTTGCTGGTATAAATTTAAAAAATAGTTGTCTTTGTCTGCAGTGCAAATATAAAATGTTTAAGACAAAAAAATATTTGCACAGGGTCATTTTGGAGTATTTGGAGTATTTTATACCTCATTTTTAAGCAAAACAGCAAAAAAAAAAAAAAATCAATGGCTGAATGTTATTGTTCATAGAGATCTATTACTGTCCTTTTCCCATTCATGATACTGTTTTTTTGTACTACATACAATCAAAATAAGTTTTGTTAAAAAAAAAAAAAAACTGATAAAAAGCATATTTACTTGAGATGCAATTGAAACTGAATAGAATTTTTTATTTTTTTATCAAGATCTGCAGCTTCCAGATTAGTCTAGCGGTGTGCATGTCAGTGAGCAAGTGTGCAAATGCATGACCGCCTGTACCTTGAGTGTGATTGAATTACTCTGGGTTAATTAGATTGTGTAGTTCACAATAATAGGTCAGACACACTCACACAAGGACATCCTTAAGAAGGGGGCTTTTTTGGGCTTATTACTGCTAGGGATGTCACAGTGTGGATCCTAGGAAGCTGTGTGGTGCTTAGCAGAATGGGAGACAGTCAGCATGGATTTATGACACATATCTGTGTTTTGTTCAGAAGCTAATACTGCACTCAGTACAACAGAGCCCACTGCATCAGATCTTGTTTTTTTTCTGCTAAAGAATCCCAGCATTAAAACAGGAATCATTCTGCATTATCTTAAGAAATTTCATGTAATTAGGCTTTCTACCTTGAGCATTTCCATAATTGATGTGCATTTATAATTGAAGAGGCACAATGACATTTTTATTGCCACTAGAAAAATTGGGTCAGAAACCTGAGTGTTTTTGCAGCACGCAGCAGAAGGGCACTGAAACACAGGGAGGCTGGGTGGAGACCTTGAGCCAATGATTGCACTTTGCACTGATTGGCTAACTATTATTGTTTCTCTCTGCATGGAATTGATAAACAGTTTTGAAAAGACTTTCTTGTTTCTTTTAAAGCCCAAAACACGACTACATACTTGTTCCGTCAGCAAAGAACCAGGCATTTTAAATAGATCTGTAACCTAAAGAAAAAGAAAAAGTTTGGTCTGAGTAGGACATCAAAAACATCCCCATTCCAGGGACCCAGATCTTCCTAAATCCAGTTCTGGTCATATCAAAGAATAATAATGCTAAATCATGAAGTTTTAATCATTAACGTCATTAAAACATTTTTAAAATATGAAAACTAGTTTATGAATCTGAAGAATAAAGAAGAAATTTTAAAATGCTTCTATTGATACCCTATAAACCTTCCATGATCTCTCTGCTTTGGAATATCGTTTTTAATCACCAACTATCCTTAAACCTAGGTAATACATTGAATTAGTGCTGAAATGTGTTATAATCAAGAATGAATAAAGATACAAGTCCAACATTTAAAATTAAATATCTTTTCAAGTATGTGATTTTATTTCTTCTCATGTTTCAATGTTTCAGCCAAAGAGCAAATTAAAGCTTAATGAGTGTGCAAGCACTGCACCAGTGAGGCTACATCAGACCAATGCTGAGCCACTTTCATGTCACTTTGGGAAGTCATCACACATTTTTTATAGGATCTTTCAGTTACCCTGCCTCTTTTATAAAGTCAGATAATCAAACCATTCCAACCCCGATCAACTACCTTCTGTGACAGAACTCTTTTGCAATAAGGAGTTCTATAAATTTTATTTAGTTAGCTTTAATCCAATTTTTCCATACAGTAGGATAAAGTAGTTGAGGGCATGTTGAAAAAGGAATGAAATAGCAGGAAGCATACATTGCCTTTGTTCTAGACTTACCACATCTCAGAAGTGCCATTGATTCCCAAAAGTCTCTTGTAGATGCCTACAGTACAAGCTGTTACCCCAGGTTGATTATACAATGGCTAATCACAGTTACAGAATGAGAAAATGGTAAAGAATTAGAACTTGTTTTTTTGCATAGCTTTTTAGAAGTTACTATGAAATTATTGTTAGGTAAAAAAATTATTATATGCCAGGAAACCAAAATTAGTTACTCATTAGAAACTATAGATCATGTTTATTGTACAATAGACGTGATGCTTAGTGAGCCACTGCTTTACATTTTACTAAAGATTGTCTGGTGCAACTCAGCATAGTAGGATATAATCAAACAGTTAAAATGTATCGGCAACTAATTTCTGTAATATATCATAACAACCTGTTCATTAATTTTCATTACTATGACTTACAGATGATAAAAATCCTAAATATAGGTTTATAGATCATAAATAAATATTACATAATATCTATGAAATAGGAGTTCTAAAACATATATGATACTGTATGTTTTTAGAGGCTTACTGTCACCCTCAGTAGGAATGGCAAGCTATAAACATTCAGATTAATAAAACAAAAAGATGTTTACAGAGGACTTTAGTCAGGAAAATCATTGGAGTGGGCTAATATTTGTGCAGGTATAGTAGCAACTTTGAATGGTTTTTAAGGCAAATTCCATTTAATATTTGGATGATATTTACATACTATGAACTTCAGAAGGAGTTTGTGTTTCAAAGGCATACATAGAGTATGGAATGATTGTCTCCCCGCCACACAGTGTAGTGATTCATACAAAGGGAGCCCAGACCAGTTATTGAGTCCTTCACAATACGCTGACTTACCTTTCAGTTGGACCAAATATCTGTGTTATAGTATTTTTTTCATATTCTTTTTTTCATATTCTCCTAGTGGCCTTAAAATTGCCCTCATGCATTTTATGTAATTTAAGAATCAATTTAAATTTAGAAGTCCATCACCATGTAATATACCTCGCTTTGATCATATCTGCAGATAATCAGTATTTGTGCAAGTGAATATTATGGCATCTTTTGTGCCTCTGAAAATGGGCAGAAATCGTCTTGCAATTCTAATGGATTTTAAACTACTTGTTGAACTGAACTCATTTATGAAAAAGTGATTATCATTTGAAGTTATCTTTAGGCTTTGTTTTGTCATCCTTCTCGTGTTCTGAGCAAAAATGATTGAAGTGCATAAGTTGCTGCTTTCAATATTGTGCAGCAGGTAATTAATTGGTAATTAATAATGACACAAAATAGTGTGCTTTTGTTTTTTCTGTTGTTGTTTGTTCTGAAACAACCTGTTTTCTATTTTTTATTTATTTTTTCCTCTCTATTTAGAGTACAGTTGTTTTGAGGCCAAAATCCATGACCTGAGGGAACAAATGATGACCAGCAGTGTCAGCTCCAGCTCAACCTCTCTCCGCTCCACACAGAAACGCACACTTTACGTCAGGTACAGTAAAACTAACCCTTCTTGGCCCAACCACTAATGAAAATTCTTATCACAGCTGTCTACTTGTTACTGAGCATGAAATGTCGAGAAAAGGGTTATCTCCTATAAAATCCCTAATAGATTTTTGGGTGAATACAGTGTCACACCAATACGTTTAATGTGCTGCCAGTTGCCTACAGTATGTGTCCTCTGTCTGTATCTATCTTATCCTTGCCTCTCCTCGTTATTCAGCCTTCTCTGAATCACCACTTCTGTCCCTTGTGTGGCTCTGCAGGGTAGTCTAAGATGCAAAGTGAGATTTAAAACAAAGTCTTTTATGTTCCTTTTTTCACTCTATTACCTATGTGATTTTTTCTTTTCAAACTACTTTACTAGGTCAACAAATATGTCACATCAGAACCAAAGATAAATCACACAGAAAATCAGATCTTGGGAGACTTAAAAGTCAACCTAACAGATTTTAGAAGCTTTTTAGTTGAAAAAATTAAAGTCATTTAATTTTCTCATTTTGAATTTACCTATGATGACTTATTATGAAAAATAGAGGCCACTGAGAGTTATTCTGAATGAATGCAAGCTTTCTGAAAAACATCTTATTATTTTTATTTTCAATTTTCCTTCTGGCTATTGTAGAAATTCAGTAAAGGTGTGGAAAAGTCAAGTGAGCTTTTGAAGAGTTTGTTTGGGTTTGCTTGTCACCTTAGCTGAGCTGTCACATGTTGGGGTTTATCCTTAAAAAGATTTTTGGCTAACTGTCCAGTATACATATACGTTTCTTTTTATATATATATATATATATATATATATATATATATATATATATATATATATATATATATATATATATATATATATATATATATATATATATATATATATATATATATATATATATGTATGTATGTGTGTGTGTTATATGTCTATGTGTGTGTGTTTTGGCTTTTGTGTGCTCATGGATGTAGTTAAACTCTGAACAGATGGGGTATTTGCAGCAAACACTGGTACATTGTGTATACAAGACAGCTTAACCTTTTCTCTTGCCTCAGTGGAAATGTCACTGACGCAGAGTGACATACTGTGTATACTGTGGAGCTGTCCTCTGAGTGAAAGGTGTATATTTGTGTTACTCCTCTCTTCTCCCCTGACTCATCTTAAATTCACACCATTATGATCCATTTTAAAGATACTGTAGGGCTTCTTAGTTTCATAGTGCAAATATACCCTACCCTGAGGAGGCAACCGTTGGTGACAATAACAGGACACTTAAAATTCAGTGTTTTTTCAGTATTTGGCTGCAGAAAATATAGATATTTATAAGTCTTGACTGAAATGTTTCACAATCAATACTAACCTACAAAGGCCTAAGGAACCTATGAATTTGGAATTAATAATGCATAGATTTTAAACTGGGGTTTGTGATATGGTTGAATATTTTGTGACTCCCTTTACACTCAAAAAAAGTCATTTTTATTGGCAGAACCCATTCCCTCAAGACATATTAAGTTTAAACCCCTTTAAAATGACAGAAGAGAAGCAATTTATAAAATTTTATTTAAGAAATTTCTTAGATATCCTGAACAGTTATTAAACATATATGAGACTAACTTTTACTTAATATTTCACATCTTTATATTTTTGTTAAATCAAGGTTCAAAGCTTATATATGCTGAATATGTGCATCCTATAGAAATAAATGCAAAGTTTTGGATGTTGGTTTATTGTCATATACAGTGCCAAACATATTATTATTATTAAATCCGTGGGAAATGAAGTGGGAAAATGTTGTCTAACATCATGGATTTAGACAGCATCAGATTATTGGCTCAAAGAGTATAAATGACTGATTCAACTCCAGTCTCCAGCTTAACTTCAAAGTGCTCTTTTTTAAATGCAACCTCAAATATACAGTATTGCAGTATTTGGTTAAGTGACCAATACCAGGCTGCAGATAAACTGTGCTGTTATCATCAAGGTCCCAGCATAATTATTGGTTAATATTTTTTTGAGATTACTTAGCTGGAGGACAGACAGGCAGACTTACTGTATGGTGGTCCTGAGGAGCAGCGGAGCAGAATATCACTAGTTTTCCTGAAGTGGGTGCCGTTCTGACAAGGTGAAACGTTTCTTTCTCAGCGAGACGAGAGGATTCCTTCCAGGGCTTGAAGGACCAGCTTTTTCCAGTGGAACTGTAGATATGCTGCCAAAGATTCACAGAGAATAACTGGGTAAAAACTTGAGGTCTCAGAAAAAAACAAAAACTCAAAGTATTGACTCAGCAAAACTCAGAGGGGCTAGAGTACCCAATACTGGTGAGGCGATGGTGACAGTCTGCTGCTCATATACTCCTCAGACGGTGATGACAAACAAGCTGCAGATGTGAATAGTTGAGAGCAGGAAGAGGCCCTCCAGATCAACGAAGGAACAATGGCACCATCTGGTGGATGCATGGAGACACTGAAAAAGAACAAAAACAACCCCCACAAACTGGAACCCTAACAATGTTAAGGAAGCCATTTATGTTAAGAAAGAAAACCTAACCCTTAACAGAGTGTGTAAACTCAGGTTTCAGCTTTTCAAAAACTTTCAGCTTTTCAAAAAAAAACAAGCGATTCCTTCCCACTCTCATCGCAACCCCCACCCCCCCTAAAGGGGACAAACATATCTTGTCTGTTCAGCCAGGCAAAACAATTATCCCTAATTACCCCCTTTCAGAGACATAGACCAGTATTGAGTATTGCAGGCTAACAAAGAACCAAAATGAGTGCCCATTCCTAAGGGGTGGACTCGTTCGTCCAGTTCAATTTGCATTTTCTAACCCAAAACAAAGCTTTGTTTTGTTCAACTCTATAATGCCTCGAACTAAACGCTATTCCTGACATTTTGAATTGAAAAAACTTCCTGGATGGGAAGCAAAACATCTTCAAACTTGGAAAGGAGGTCCAGTGTTTTTTTTTTTTTTACTTTTTTGGAATGATTGTGATCTGGATGACTTTAAATCTTCACCAGCATAAAGCCCATTATGATGACTGACAATTCTATTGAAACATAGGATAAAAGGACATTTCTAGCAATTGGTTCTTTTTTTTTATCTTTGTAGTCATCATGACTAAATGGCTTAACATTTGCATGGTTTTCTTGTGAGCAGCTGAAATTTGGATCAGGATGTAACACCAGCTTGACATTGGACACTAATAACAATTTCCAATTCACTACAAAGTTGCTGTATCATGGTTACTTTCTGGTATACATCCTAAACAATTCCCCTTTATCTGATAGTTTGGTTGAGATGCATGAAGCTTGACCAGAAAATAAGGCAAACTTATATTCCTCTAATGGTCAAATATTCAAAGGATAATGGTCAAATATTCAAACAGTATTATACTTCTGCCTTTTTATGGCTAAAAAAAGTAGTGTGTGCTTTTCTCTGTACCTTATATCCACAATAAAGTTAAATATCTGGACCAAATTAATGTTTTGAAGGTGCCTAGTCATGTACTATGACCTTTTGAATTTCCATGGCAGAAATTTGCTGTGGTTACATGCAAAGGATTTAGGATTAAAATTATAGTGCCCTGTTGGCCTGCAACAGACTGGCGACCTTTCCAGGGAGTGCCCCACCAATACACTGCAGAAATTAGGCACTGGCCCCACGCGACCCTGAAAAGGACTAAGCAGGAGAAAAAAGATGGATAGATTCCCTTACCTTATTATATGTTTTTTTAAACAAGTTTTAATTTGGTTGGTCTGCATTTGTTTGTTCATTTGTACTGCTGGCAGCTGGCAATCACTTACAACAATTTTAATGTCCACCAATTGTGAATAGCGCAAATATTGTTTTGATGCTCAAAAAGGATTAAGTAAACACTATGAGGATAAATATAGGTTGTTTTATTTTAACGTGAGTAGACATAGACCTCTTTAAAAAAAAAAAAAAAACTATTATGTCACACCATCCTGTAAAAAAAGTTAAAATGTGTTCATTAAAGACTAATTAAAATACACAATTTAATATTAGTGATGGCTATTCTGTATAAATGGCTGGGTGACATTGTAATTCTAACCTCTCTGGTTATCATTAATTATTCATGTTCTGAAACGTAATAGTAGAGGTCACTTAAATTTGTTTTCCTTACTTCTACTCCTAATTCTGTATATGTATCTGTTTAATGTAAAATATAGATGTAGAAATGAATTAGATTATTCATAATTAGAGTTCATTTAATGAGGCATTTCTCTGAAATACTGTTCTCTTTTTTATTTGTAAAGCAGGGGTTGTATTTCTTCATACAATATTTATTAAACAAATATTGGTAAACTAAAGAGACAAAGGTCTATGATTTTATTTTTTTGTATGGCTTTATTGTTTAGTCTGGCACAGAAGTGCTATATATTACTTTTTCCTTTTATTTACTAAACTGAAAAAGTTAAATAAGCAGAAATTTATTGTGGGCATTCATTGGAAAGCTTAACTGCACTTGAGTAATCTTTAGCTCCACAGAAAATTTAGTCGGTCTGTTACAGAGCCTATTTAAAACTGTTTTGTCACACATTATTGTAATTAATGTGGGCTTGTCATCTAGAGGAATACATCAGGGATTTCAACTAAAGCTAATGTTAAAATGAGAACATGTAATTGAATTAGAAATATGTTTTTCAACTGCAGCCTTAATAAATTTACAAAACACCATTCAACGATACTTTCTTACTTAAAAATCACTGGTGATGTTTGCAAATGCTTTGCTTGATTTAATATTTTCTTTGCTGGTGGTGACATACAACCTTAAAGGTTTTTCCTTCATACAACTGACAGCTCTAACCCTGAATTTTAGATTTATACTTCATCCTTCCAACCTTTCTTTTGCTGTGTACAGCCCACAGACGATTCCTCATACTCATAGAGGTGTACATACTTAGCATTTGCACATATTTGCAGAGCTCTATTTTCTACTGCCTGTTGGTTCACACCATTACACACAGCAGTAATTAATCCATGTTACTTTATTTAGGAATTTAATTGGTTTCAACATAGGAATTAGAACTGAATTTACTGCCTATGTAGGAAAGAAAATCTAAATACTTTAAATGTAACCATCTAAAATTTCCCCATCATTTATTAGTATCTGCATCTGCCCTTTAAAAGATGGAAATGTCGTGAAAGTTGTACAAAGCAAAATTTCTTATTGTATACACTCTGTGTATACAAAATGAAAATATAAGATGTCTAAGTCTATTAAAACTGACAGGGTTTTGGTTCTGTTTATGTTTTCTTTTTGAATTTTCATTGGTTTAATTTCCATGTTTTTTATTCTACTTGTTTTTGGTTGTATTTGAGTTCCTATGTATTCGTTGTTTACCCTCTGTCCCCTCCCTTGTGTCAGTGTCCTTCTCCTAGCTCCCGTCTAACTGCTTCCATCCACGTTGTTCCTCTTCTGTTGATTTGCCCCAGTCTTCCCCTTCTTCTTGTAAGGTTTTATCGCGGTTGGCAAACCAGTTAAAGTACATTACCACCACCAACTGATAAGGAGTTAAACAAGCAAACAGGAAACAAGACTCACCCCCAAAAAAAAATAAACAAATAAAAGTAATAAAAATAAATAAACAAAAAAAAAACGTAATAATTTTCTAAACTGTTTAATTTGATTAGCCCAGTCTTTGTACAATCTCCCATTTATACTCCTCCTCTTCAGTTACTGTTTGATGGTTCCTCGTCGTTTCTTTGACCCTCATGTGTGATTTCCCTAATGTCTCCTGGATTTTAGTTTTCTTTATTTTGTTATTTTGGATTTTTGCTTCTGTTGTCACCTTTTGGTTTATCAAACCTGCTAGAAACAACTTCTACTTCTGCATTTGGGTCCTCTTCAAACCTCCACACAACCTGACAAAAACCTGCCAGTTGTATTCTTGTACTGATGTGTAAAACACTTTTATTCCATAAAATGAAAGAGTAATAAAAATTTTCATCTCTTGCCATATTTTGAATGTGGTCTACTGCATATACTAAAAAAATATATATTTTTTTTATATTGTACTTTTTAAATATATTTTGTAGGGCATATGTTCAAATATGTTATTAAATACCCATTTCCAACCAATTGGGCTTGAATATCTAAAAAATATATATTTTTTATAGGTAACAAAAAATAAGTATTTAATTTAACACATGAAATACTTCAGTTTTAATAAAATATAATTTTATTAAATAGCTGAAGTGAATGTAGGTAAGAAAAAAACCCCAATAAGACATGTTGTCAAATTAGTTTTAATGATGTACAGCTTATTTCCTTTGTCATTAATATTTCAACAAGAAAGCACCTAAATCACATTCTCAATCATAGAATCTGCATACATTTGACATATTTTACTTTAGCTCATTATAAAGTAATGCCTATTATGCTACTTAATATAATAGAGCATGTCACACTATTTACAATGCTTGTTTGTCTCAGCTACAGAAGAAGTGAAAGAAAATGTTTAAATGTATTGAATCCTATCATTCTATTTTTTATTATAGTAGAGTGTAAGCTGTCACACTTTAATTTTAGGATTTGACTTAGGGATCAGCTGATGCCCAAGGTTTACATTTCATTTAAAAATTGTGGCTCCTGCACTGCAAAAACAATCCAGAAATAAGTAAAAAATGGCTTAAATTAAGTATATTTAGCCTTAATTTGAGCAGGTAAATAAGATGATTTGCCAATGGAATGAGTATTTTCACTCTTAAAATAAGATAGTTAGATAATATTTACTTGAAATAAGACGATAAAATAGTTTTTTCTTATTTTAAAAGGAAATTGTCTTGTTCCATTGGCAAAGTGTCTTACTTACCTCCTCAAATCAAGGAAAAACACACTTATTTTAAGAAAAAATAACTTATTGAGATTTATATTTTTTGCAGTGCGGTACTACTGTGAACCAGTTTGTTCTATCCTGCAAGGAAAAAGTCTTATGTTACGGATTCATAACTGAAAATTGTCTGAGGGTTGTGAATACTTTTGCCAGACAATGTACATACTCTGGATGAACCTGAGTAATTAGCATTTCTTTTTTAGCTGATGTCTTATCTGTTCACAACAGAGATTTTATTTGACCCTGTAAATGGAAAGAAAAAGCTGTTTCTTGTTTTTTTCCCCCTATATTTTGTAACTATAGTTGAAAGAAAGAATATTTGTTTTCTTCACGTCACTTAGTTTTAGAAGATAGCATTTGATCACCCTTGTTTTATCTTTTCATTATGGTCATTTTAAACTTTATATTCAATATATTCTCAGGGTAATTAACCTTGAAAGACTGTAGAAAAAACAGCCTTTTCTAACATGTTTAAACAGCTTTCATTCAACTATTACAGCCCTGTTAGATCTTAGGGTCAAGGGTTTTTGACCTTTAGTTTGACTATTTATAGGTTCTTTTACTCACAGTTTTCTACATCTATTTTTTTTTCTTCTCACTTGCTCCTGTGTCTCTGTCTTGTTTTATTGATGAACCCAAGAAGGACTGTTGGGAGTTCAGTTTATTTCAGCTCTAGATGCTTTGCATTCACACAGTTGCACAAACATATTGCTGGCCTATTTTCCCAGGTCTCTTCCCTCTGGAAGAGTGCTATGGTCACAGACACTTATTAATATTCAGAGGTAGGCAAGCATAGATTTAATAAAATGTAATTATAAAACAATTGTAGATTTTTTTTTATTATTATTACTTAAATCTATATAAAGAGGTGTTCAGAATGAAGACAGATTTCCTGGAAATTCAGGGAAGATTGTTATTTATTATGCACAATAAAATAATAATGGTTCTCACTGAATTTTTTTTTTTTTTTTTTTTAAAGGGCTTTGTTCGACTATGATGGAAGTGCTGCAGATCTGAGTGCACCCAATCAGGCTCTGCCATTTAATTTTGGAGACATCCTCCATGTGAGCAGCGCTGGTGAAGAGGAGTGGTGGCCCGCCCGTCACCTTAGCCCCCCACCCCCAAACTGTCCTGAAGTTGGACTCATCCCCAGCCGAAGGAGGTTAGAGCTCTCATGGTTTAGATAGGTTTGGGGAATTCACTGCTTTTCTCTCTGCGTAGTTGCTGGTATCCATATTACCTGAAGGTATCATCTTTTTATCTTATTAACATTGACCTTTGGATGATAACATGGAGTACTGTACATGTTTCTGTATGTATGTTTTTTATCTTATTAACATTGACCTTTGGATAATAACATGGAGTACTGTAAAAGTTTCTGTATGTATATAGGGTTAGATAGAAATGTATGTTATGTTTTTGTAAGCTTAGAGTTTAAAACATTTCTGATGAAAAAGGTTGGAAAAAATACAGGGCAGCAGTAGAATTAGGCAGCTAAATATTACATAGGTGTTTTGGCATAAAATTCCATATAAAAATAAGTCTTACCTCTTAAGGCAAAGATATAAAAAGGCCAAAGACCTAAGAGATAGTTATGGAGAATTTATGTCCCCCTCCTTTCAACTGTAGGACTTGCAGATGTGTGAAAGCTCAAAATGCCTGGTTCCAGAGAGGCTTTTACCTGTAAAAGGGGAAATTTAAATAATACATAAAAGACGGTTGAAAATAACCAGAGCAGTGCAAGAGATCTATAAAAGAAGCAAAGTACTCCCACCCCTTCAAATGAGTGCTATGACCAAAGTATTTGAATAAGGACCAATGATGAAGAAGTTTGTACCTTAAATGTGAAGAAATGTGTTGCTACAAAATGTGGATGAAAATGAATCACTGCATCCCTTCAGTTTTGAGACTTGGAGCAGGTGCAGTGCAATAAGATGTGTGTTGAAACCAAAAGCATTCAACAAGGCTGATAAAGTATATACTGTAGAAAAAAAATTGTTCAATCATGTTTTTTAGTGAAAGGAACGTGTAATTGAGGTCTTTTGGACTACAGAAATCCCACCTCTATTGCAAAGTCATATTTATCTATGACCACTTATTGTAGAAAGCATCTGGACTGAAATGGTTTCAATTATTGCATTTAATTTTCAACAGCAAAAAATTGCATTAATGTAACTTATGTTTTTTATTTTTTTATGAATGATTATGAATGATTTTCATTAGATTCAGCCATACTACATTTTCCTACATCATTTTACTACTTAAACGTGCTAATTAGAAAAAAAACAGCAAAACAGCTTAGTTTGGACCTGTTCCTGAGTAATATACCAGAAATTCAGTTTTTACAGCCTTAAAGCTATTTACTAGGAATTTTTTACTTTTACTTTTATTTTGTTGATGTTGTTCTAGATAAATAATTTATCAGACTGCTATTGATACTCTTGGCATCAGAAACTGAATTTAGATTTCCTTGAATGAATTTTTAACCCTGTATTTCAAAACGAAATGCAATAGTTTGAAAGAATCAAGCTCAGTTTTGTTGGTTTAGAAAGAGTGGTACTAAGGAAGATACAGGAGGCAGAACTGGAGGTAGCAGAGATGAGGATGCTGAGGTTCTCTTTAGGAGGGATTAGGAATAAGTACATCAGAGAGTCAGCTCATGTTTGATGAGTTAAGAGATAAAGCCAGAGAGGCTAGACTGAGATGGGGTGGACACGTACAAAGGAGGGATAGTGAGTACATTGGCAGGATGTCGAGGCTGAAACTGCCAGGCAGGATGCTTAGAGGAAAAGCAAGGATGAGATTTATTGATTGAAATTAAAGAGGGATTGAAGGTAGATGGTGTAAAGGAAAAAAGATGCAGAGGACATACATAGAGACATACATTTTCAAAGCAAATTAATTCAGTTTCAAAACATTCAGTTATCAGCATGGTGAAATACACTTTCAAAGTCATGCATTTAATTTCAAATAACATGAATACACGCTTAGTCAGGGAAAGTCAAATTTAGTTTCTGATGGTACAACTTACTGCTCCTAGAGGTACTTCTTGTTGCATTATATTTTTATGCAAGTGAAGGGTTTTTGTGTGTCCGTTTATAATCTGGTCACGCAGACACCAGCTTTGTTGTGGTTAACTGAATAAATAACCTTCCTCACACATGACTGCCTCTGTGCTTAAAACTGAATGCTGAGCTGTTTAGTGTTGCTGTTTAACTTCAGTACTTTCACAAAAAAATTGAAATACGTTTGGTTTTTATAAATTGAAGCTTCTTTTCTGATGCGTCATTCAGTTTCATTACAGTTTATAATAAGAACTATTAATTAAGATTGATAAAAAATATATATATATATATTTTCTTTCCTAACATCACCTCCTCATGTCGTATGTGACAGACAGATGCTGACAGGTCTCTGAGGTGTGAGAAGACATTTTAAAAAAAGGGACGTATCCAAGTGTGACACATAGGGAGGTGACAGGGAGGCAAGGATGTAAAGTGTTATGGACTGGAAGGGGGAAAAGGAGGATGTGTTACAGGCTAGTGAAGTGAGGATTAAAGGTAACAAGGAGCAGAGGACACGTCAGCTAGAGGTTTGCTGGAGAAGCTCTGGTTGCTACATTAGAGCTAACTGAGTAACTGCTGTCATAGACTGACTGCCTTCAACCTACTGACAGGTTTAAGGAAATCTTAATCTAGAAAACTGCTTTTAATTAGTCAAAGTAATTTTGCATTTCATTTTAAAATGTCTCCAGTGTTTTGTTTTTTATTAGAATCTGTTTCCTAATAAATTATCAAAGAGCATAAAAATCTCTCTTTTTTTTCTATTTTTCATTTAACAGAGCAGAGAAGAAGGAGAGATCGAGGCTAAAGATGGTCAGAGTGTCGAGGTCTCAGGACAGATCGGTAAGTAGATGCCTTTTTTGATTACCCTCAAAGTTGCATTTGCTAGAGCTTTTAATTTCATTTTTTAAAAGTAACACTTTCTCCTGAAAAGGTTTTCACCCTCACCAAACCTCTGGAACCTTATAATGTTAATGGGTTTAGTTCATTAATGTATAAAACTTTCTTTGCAATGATCATCTGAGATTTGAAGGAGATGTTGATCTGTTGAATTGATAGGGCCAAATGATTTTAGCACAAATTTCCATCTGAAAATAAAAAACAAAATAAATCATAATAACTCAACAGTTGTTAGATCTTTATGCATCCCTTTAGTACTGACCCTGTGTAGGGATAGCATTTTTTTCAGTTTATGTTTTGCAGATTTTGCTGATTTATTTTTGATACATTTAAGTAAACAATAATTTTATAGTCTCGTCAGAGGAACATTAGGGCTTAAGCTTCTACCAAATTACCCAAAAAAAACTTTTTGCACATTTCTCATAACCTAAACTTAGTCTAAAGGTTCTTGGAAACAACACAAACATAAATTGCACAAAAAATAAAACTGTTACGCCATACACCACATCACTGTTACACCACATCACTAATTATTGCTAATTAATTAGTATTTATTACCAACTAATTATTAATTGAATGAACACAACATTTTCAGAAAACATTTATAGAAAACAGTTGTTGCGGTAGTGAATGATAAAACTACAAGTTTATCGCTCTTGTCATTTTCATCAATGTTTGGCTCCTTAGCTCCTCATTATAAAGCCTCTGCGGGGATTCAGGCCATACATCTGAACATTTATCCTGAGTTAGATAAATACATTAGTACTGATATAAATCCAGCTATTGTAAGTCAAATTTATAGCCCAATTTTAAATAGAAAAGCTTTAGAAAGTTTTTCTGTGCTTTATCAGTGCTTGTGTAACGAAGTTTTAAGTTAATTTTTATTGAACATTCCTTTATCCTATTATGCCTAGCAGGCACACAGCAGCTTTTTAAAGCTGCTAAAAAATATGGGGTGTATCAAAACCTGACAGTTTTGTATAGACTTTTATGTTATTGTACTGATGTAAACTGGCCAAACACTCAATTTTTTGATGCTGGAAGATCTTAACTAAAATGTAGAGGTGATACAGCTATCACTGTGGCTCTAGCAAGAAGTTTAGATCAGCTTATTTCCACATTTTTAAACCAATCAAACTACAGGTTCCCTTTTGAGGCTCGTTAAGACTGATCACTTTTCCTTTGCATTGGACTTGAGAAAAATGTGAGATTTTAAATAGAAACTTTAAGAGTTTTATTATTGAATCTGGTTTAATATTAACTTTTGTTTTTAAATATGATATAAAGATACACACCATTTTGAAAATAGACAGTTGCACACTTTACAGTGAGAACATCTTTTCATGGTTAAAATATTTATTTAGGACAAGTAGCATTTTACTACTGAGAGACTACAAGGTTGGAGCTTGTACAAATCTAAAGCAACAACATGACATCAGTATGATGCTGAGCACTGACACAAGATTAACACATGCTATTGATATCACTGCATTGTCAGCTGGGTCTCACCCTCCTTCTGTTTTCTTCACACTGTGGGAACAAGCAACTCCACGTGATGAAGCAATGATAATTAAAACTGATCACACTCTTGAACACACTTGTTCTCTCATTTGTTAGTATGACAGAGTTCCAAACATACACACAAATACACACAGATTTTGATTGTTGTGGGTGGTGATTAATACTCCCCTCTCTTTCTGTCTCCTGCAGGATCAGGAAGATAAAGGTGAGTAACCTAACTATTGCTGACACCTGCTGGTCTTTAAATGTAACTGCTTTTCCAGAAGCTTTGTCTGGATGGTTTTCTAATCTAATATTTATTATTCAGTTATATAATTTTTATACAATTCTATTGAGAGAAATTGATAATGACAACTGAAACAATTGCAGTTAATCAAACCTTTACAAAAACTATAACCTTTTATGTTATGGTTTGTTTTTTAGTCATCAAAAAATAGCAAACTTTTCATCCAACCAGATTTTATTTGTCAGTTAATCCTAAAACATCTGCTGATTCATTTGTTTTTTTGAATAAGTGCAATAATTAAGGAAAAAACTAAATGCAATTTTTTTACTAGAGAGAATGAATCACAAGGTAAACATTCTAAAATGACTTTTGATGTTATATATAAGCTATTTGTACCTGTTAAGAATGACTAAAACTACTTACTCTTCACAAAAGTAGATCCATCTCTTATTGTATCTGACACTTCCAAAAATATGCAAAACCTACCTTTTGCAGCATATTTTATAACAGAACCTGAACGCTTTGAGGGTTTTTTTTTTACCAACCTTCCTATTATTTGCTGGGAGGACCATTTTCTCTTGCTCTTATGTACCTTAATGTGCTAAATATACTAATCAGAAAAATATATTTTATGTTATGCATCTGCTGGTCACCCACTGAAAGTCATCTAATCCCATCTGTAATTCTGGGCCTTACAAATGTGTCAACGGAAGAAAAAATGTTGACTGGTTGAATGTGGGACATTTTGTGAAAGCTGTTTTTGTGTGTGTATGTTCGGTGTGTGGATGTGTTTGTTGACTCTGACCTGTCTTGTCCTTCCAGCGCTGGTAACCTCTGGCACCAGTGATAGTGAGAGTAGTTCCTGTAAGTGTAGACCCTCCTCTGTAATCCGTCTCTTCTCTCTTTTACCTTTTCTCTATTGCAGCTCAGTCTACATCCTCTCCTTCTGTTAATTTTATCTGTTTGTGTGTGTTTTGTGCGTGTGCCTGCTGTGTGACATGCCCATGTGTTTTCTTGTGCTGTGATTATGTGCATGCAGGTTTTGAGTGTAAGACACATCTTACTACTTTTCCAGAGCTGCTGGAGAATTCTTTATCAAAAATAGAGATGGTTAGAGGACTAATGTGGTGTAGGATTTATGATATATCTCTGTTTGAACAGCTGGCCAGGAAGAGGTCCTCCTCACTTACCAGCCTGTTGTGCAGCAGGAAGGTATGTACCTAATTCCTACGTTTTTAATCCACAAATTTCAGTCATTATAAGTGATAAAGGCTAATTGTACAAGAAAACCTTTGAGATTCTCAGATTTCTAAGCCTAACTTCTCTGGTAGTATTATCGTTTTTAGATTTTGTCGATGTTGAGCAGGGATGATTTTTTTCTCACTATTGTTTAGGCCGCCTTCGACATTTGTCCGGGGTGGGGGTTGGTAATCCAAAACTGAATGACATTTTCCTCATATTCTTTCATTGAGGAAATAGCATTTAATAATAGTATTAAGTTGATGAGCCTTGTTTGAAAGGTAGTTTTATCCCTGTCCTACATTTAAATGTATTTCCTGAATATAGACTTGTTTTCAAGAGAATTTGCTTTGAGGATGTCAGTAAAACTAGGGTGTAGAGGGGTGCCTTATGCTAAAATTCTTTGTATTTTCACACTTACATTGTTTTCAATCATTTTATTTATTTATTTCTTGGTCAATACATTAGAATGCAGTTTGCATTTTAAATCTATGCTGCGTTTATTTTAACAAATGTCTTAACAAGTTCTTAAACCTACTTCTGCTTATCTTTCCCAAGTTAATTACACACGGCCAGTCATTGTACTTGGACCAATGAAAGACCGGGTCAATGATGATCTGATCTCTGAGTTTCCAGAAAAATTTGGATCCTGCGTTCCACGTGAGTTTTTCTAGTTTATGATTAATTTCAGAGGCAACTCAGAAAACAGAAAAATCTATCTAACAGAAAAACAATTCTTATGCATCAGGGTTTTTTTCTTTCATTGTGATGTGTTTCTTTGTAATTTGCTATTAAAAGCTGATTTCTTATTTAAAAATCTAAAAAAATCAAAATCAAAAACAGCTTTGAGTGTAAGCAGGGAGTGCAGAATTACTATAACCGCCTGTGTTAATTTTGTGAAAAAAATATTAAAATATAGTGAGATGTGGTTATTGCTATTGATTCCTATTATTTCAGCTATTTTTTCTTAATGCAAATGTAATACACTTTTAAAAACTTATTAAGATTTTTTTTATTCTCTAATTCACACCGCCTAAATATCTGTAACAGGTTTCGATCTGACATGTAAATATATGTGAAGATATTCTTTTCCATCATTTGAATCTGTGTGAAACCTCTACTTCTCAGACACAACACGGCCACGAAGAGACTACGAGGTGGATGGCAGAGATTATCACTTCATGTCCTCCAGAGAGCTGATGGAGCAAGAGATTCAGGAACACAAGTTCATTGAGGCTGGACAGTATAATAACCACCTCTATGGAACCAGCATACAGTCTGTCAGAGAGGTCGCCGATAAGGTAAGACCCCAGCTGACCAGCTGAGAGGGTTAGCATATTGTGTGCAGTCTGTGAGTGATGGTCAGATTTGATGTCTCTTGCAGGGGAAGCACTGCATCCTGGATGTATCTGGGAATGCGATAAAGCGTCTCCAGATGGCAGGCCTCTATCCCATCGCTATCCTCATTAGACCACGTAATGTTGAAAACATCCTGTAAGTAACAGAATCAAAGAACAAGTTAGTAAGATAAATGCTGCATTTAAACTAGAATGCTTTTGGAAAATTACAATTGTGACATATGTAACATTTGTTATCAATGTGTCATTTTATCATGCAAATGGAGGAAGAAAGAGGAATATCCTCTTCAGAATTGGCTCCAAAACATCAACAGCAAATATCCTACGACTGATATCAAAATAGTTGGCATAAGAATAATTGAACTGTATTTATCTAACATTGGAGAAACTTACCTCTGCATTTAACCCATCCCCTTGGGGAGCAGCGGGCTGCCACTGTGCGGTGCCCAGGGAGCAGTATGGGGTCTTGCTCAGAGACCCAGAGTGCAGGCTGTGGGGATCAAACCGGTTACATGCAAACTTCTCAGAGTACAAGCGCACTACAGGTGCTGGTCATAAAATTAGAATATCATGAAAAAGTAGATTGATTTCAGTAATTCCATTTAAAAAGTGAAACTTGTATATTATATTCATACATTACATACAAACTCATATATTTCAGATGTTTATTTTGTTTAATTTTGATGATTACAAATGACAACAAATGAAAATCTCAAATTCATCATATCAGAAAATTAGAATATTGTGAAAAGGTTCAAAATTGATGGCCCCTGGTGCCACACTCTAATCAGCTAATGAACTCAAACCACCTGCAAAAGCCTTTAAATGGTCTTTCAGTCTAGTTCTATAGGCTACACAATCATGGGGAAGACTGCTGACTTGACAGTTGTCCAAAAGACGACCATCGACACCTTGCACAAGGAGGGCAAGACACAAAAGGTCATCGCTAAAGAGGCTGGCTGTTCACAGAGCTCAGTGTCCAAGCACATTAATAGAGAGGCGAAGGGAAGGAAAAGATGTGGTCGAAAAAAGTGTACAAGCAAGAGAGATAACCGCACCCTGGAGAGGATTGTGAAACAAAACCCATTCAAAAATGTGGGGGAGATTCACAAAGAGTGGACTGCAGCTGGAGTGAGTGCTTCAAGAACCACCACACACAGACGTATGAAAGACATGGGTTTCTGCTGTCGCATTCCTTGTGTCAAGCCACTCTTGAACCACAGACAGCGTCAGAAGCGTCTTGCCTGGGCTAAAGAGAAACAGGACTGGACTGCTGGTGAGTGGTCCAAAGTCATGTTCTCTGATGAAAGTAAATTTTGCATTTCCTTTGGAAATCAAGGTCCCAGAGTCTGGAGGAAAAGAAGAGAGGCACTTCATCCACGTTGCTTGAAGTCCAGTGTAAAGTTTCCACAGTCAGTGATGGTTTGGGGTGCCATGTCATCTGCTGGTGTTGGTCCATTGTGTTTTCTGAGGTCCAGGGTCAACGCAGCCACATACCAGGAAGTTTTAGAGCACTTCATGCTTCCTGCAGCTGACCAACTTTTTGGAGATGCAGATTTCATTTTCCAACAGGACTTGGCACCTGCACACAGTGTCAAAGCTACCAGTACCTGGTTGAAGGACCATGGTATCCCTGTTCTTAATTGGCCAGCAAACTCTCCTGACCTTAACCCCATAGAAAATCTATGGGGTATTGTGAAGAAGAAGATGCAATACACCAGACCCAACAATTCAGAAGAGCTAAAAGCCACTATTAGAGCAACCTGGGCTATCATAACACCTGAGCAGTGCCACAGACTGATCGACTCCATGCCACGCCGCATTGCTGCAGTAATACAGGCCAAAGGAGGCCCAACTAAATACTGAGTGCTGTACATGCTCATACTTTTCATGTTCATACTTTTCAGTTGGCCAACATTTCTATAAATCCTTTGTTTTTATTGGTCTTCAGTAATATTCTAATTTTCTGATATGATGAATTTGAGATTTTCATTTGTTGTCATTTGTAATCATCAAAATTAAACAAAATAAACATCTGAAATATATGAGTTTGTATGTAATGTATGAATATAATATACAAGTTTCACTTTTTAAATGGAATTACTGAAATCAATCTACTTTTTCATGATATTCTAATTTTATGACCAGCACCTGTAATTTAATCACTAGGCCAACACTACCAAGTCATATAAAGTTCCTTATTATTTCAAGTTTATCAAGATGTAGTTTAAATACTCTTTCCATTTTAACTGTCTAATTTTGTGATTTAAGATGCAATACAACCTCACTGAAAATAGGAATGCAGCCCCAGAACAAATACAACTGTTTTTACACCTAAGCTTAAGACTAAGTAGAAAATGAAAAGATATTTTCATTATTTCTGTTTAACCTTCACTTCTACTCCCTACAGAGAGATGAACAAACGTTTGACAGAGGATCAGGCGAGGAAAGCCTTCGACAGAGGCATCAAACTGGAGCATGAGTTTGCAGAGTACTTCACTGGTTAGTCAATGCAAGCACATTCATGAGCAATTTTTGAGTTCTCTGTTTAAGAATCACTGCAGGCACTTAAAAGATATTTGGAAAGTTAAAGAAAAAGCTAAGGATCAATGTCTCACAAACTTATTTTCTGCCTCTTTCTGTTCAAGACAAAATAACTTCCACTTTAGAGCTTAAATTATAACATCTGTTGTATTTAATTGGCAGACCACTGATTTCCTTATGTTTGTACCTCTTGCAGCAATAGTCCATGGCTCATCTTTAGAGGAAATTTACTCCCAGGTCAAGCAAATCATTGAGGAGCAGTCTGGTCCTTACATCTGGGTGACCACCAGGGAGCGACTTTGAATAAACACACACATATGAAATATCCATGCACACATCACTGTATCAACATAATTTTTTTTTCTATTATCAGCCTGCTTCCTCTGTTTTGCATTACTGCACACACATGTATTTACACAAGCACACAATATTGGAGTGGCTGGGACTATCTGGGACTTCACCTTCCTGAAGTGGGGGACCTCAGGTCTGTCCAGCAGCGTTCTGGTGGATCTTCCTTCAGCTTGGTTCCTTAATGTTTAAGGAGTTGGTTCAAATCAAGGCAGCCTGTACCATGAGCTGATTTATTTCACTACTGTTCTTCTTATTGTTGTTGTTGTTGTTGTTTTCATATTAACAAAGAGTAATGCATTCATGTATTGGTTTGTAATGATAATATTGTCACCAAGAGGCAGACTTTTGCACGCTGTAGCTTTACGAGCATGTTTTTGGGACAAAAATCTTGGTCTGATCCCTGTATGTCTCTCTGTCTGTCTATTGTTCCAGGTGACATTGCAAATATTTTTAGATTTTGTTTTCTCTTTAGTTCATTTCTCATCCCTTTGTCCCCTCCTTTTCTCTCCTTACACTCTTATACCATTATATATGAGATGATAATATCTATTGTAATTCTACCTTGCCCCGTAATTCTGGCATTGAAAGCTACCATTGCTGGTTGAAGTATAAAAAAAATGTCTAATCACTTTAGAGATTTGGGGACTAATAACCTTCAATTTATATGTATCATCTGTTACCATAGCTTATGTAAGCATATTAGTTTTTCAACATAGAATTTAGAGAATGACATCAACATTTAAAAGCTATCTGAAGCTTTTAGTTTTGTTTTTTTATAATCAATTACTGTACCATCTAACTACCAAAAAAAAAGACTTTATGTCTTCAATCTGACCCATATTTATTTCGTTTGTCAGGCCTCTCCCAATATAAGCAGTGGCCAGATGAGCAAAAGCACTAATAATTTTTTTTTTGTAAAACATAAACAATCATAGTTCTTGTGTTTCCAGCGCAGCACAGGATTTACGGCCAACCTTTTTTTTACTAATTTACCCTCTAATCTGTTTTTAACTATACAAAACATGAAAACATTTTGAAAACTGGTCTTGCATCTCTAATGGATAGTAAGTACACTAAAAAGATCAGAACCAAAGATATTCCGTATTTGTGGGGTTTAAAAACAGGAATAAAGCAATGGGAAATTGGTCTATCCAAATAATTAAAATAATAAAGGTTAAAAACTTTTATATTTTCTGCTTAACTAAATATACAGAGTTGAGAGATTTGTGCTTGTTCAATAACCATATAAAGTTGAGAGAAGATTTGTATGAAATATATTAAAGCTAATAAATCAAATTCAAGTAAATTAATAAAATATCACAATCTGACTTTAAAAGAGGAAAATATGTTGTTTTTTTTCATTCATCTAATTGAAAAGTGTCATTTTTATATTTAATTTAAGGGACTTGGATGTGCTCCCTTCCAAGTCTTCCAGACTTAATTTTCCTTTTCTTTACTTATTCTGACTTGATGTCCCACTCTCATATCTGTGTTTCTCGTCGTAACACCAGCTTAAACAGTGTATCGGCTTCTTCATCCCCATTGTCATCCCATCCATTATCATCGTCACAGTCTTTGTAACAGCTTCCCCTCCTAATGATAGTTGCACTAATGAGGGCTGATTTCCTAAAAGCATCTTGCTTTAAATTGTTTTGTTTATTGATTATGAAGGATGCAAAAGGGCAGTTTTTGGGAAGGTTTTTACATATTTGTAGTATATAAAGACATCACATGTGCCCTATAGGTAAAAGTTTGTTACTCAGTTAATACTCAGCATCTTTTATGTTTGTTTTATTTTTTCTGCTGAGAGTTTATTTTTCTTTTTAAGTTTGTTGTCCTTATGCCCATAAAAATCTCTGAGCTAGTCCCATGTGTGACCTCAGCACTCAGCTCAATATGCTGTGGGGTTTTTTTCACCTCCATAAATACCAACTAAAGCTTTGGCTTCACTAGTTTCTCCTTGTCACAGAAACTAAACTTTCGAGTCCATGTGACAGAATGTGTGAGAAACACTTTTGCTGAGTGTTGAGGTCAGGAATTAAAATCACCTGAAATGTGATGATAATTTGTTGTGGAGTATAAAAACTCTCTTGCTCTTGATGACACAGCCCTTGTATGCTTGTATGGACCTCGTCAGCCACCCACTCCCCCATTCCACTGTAAACCCCTGGGGCAACACTTCCAAGCTGACTGGAGGACAGAGATGTACAATGGAGCCGTTCTGTCAGCAGAGGAGCCCTTAAATAGTAAAAAAAATTATTTTGACCAAATGTTTTGAAATTTTAACACTTTCTCAAAGAATGTTCTGCTGAACTCATGATTTCTCATTTACATTTTCCCATTAATCCCAGAAAATAATTTTTATTCATCAGCTGAGAGAACGGAAACCTCTGTATGACTCTGGCTGTGTGTTTCTTCCAGGGGACTATGCCACTGTTTGTTAGAGTAAAGCACCGATGCAAAGAATCTATTAAAGAGATGTATCTATATCTGACATATTATAATATTTATCCCTGCTCTAACTGCCTATTTTGGTACGAAAAAATAAAAGGCTTTATTGAGCTTTACTGCAGTCCCTTTACCTGTGACAAGAGGTGACTATTCTTTCCTTTACTGTGTTGAATGCTGATGTTAATTATTTCAATTGATTAATGAATTAATGTAGCATTGATTAATGAATGCTTTATTAATGTAGCATTTCTGTCTGAATAATCAATTAATATACAAAGAAATACTCTAAACAATTTAACAAACTTAAAATAATGTTTGGATTTAAAAAAAGAAAACAATCACAGCACATTTTAAATAAATTATGCATGGCTAAAACATGATTTAAAAGAAAAAAAGGAAATGCTCAGAAATGCCAATGGGTAAGTTATAGATAAAGCACATTTATACCTGAAGAAGTTTTTTTTTTTTTTTTATTAAATGTAAAATATGTTGCAAAGAGCATGTTTTAGTCTCTATGCCCCAGTTAAAAAAATATTTTTTTAAATAAGTTATTAAATAAGTTATTAAATATTTGATTAATCACAATTCATCCAATTAATTGTGTCACCCCTTCATGGGATTATTAATATTTTATTTTTCTGACTTATTTTTCTTCAGTTTTCCAATCTACCATGCATTTATTGTTGTATGCTGATGAATAATGGGAGTTCTATTAACAGCAATTTAATTAAAATGTGCCAATAGTTAAACTACACTCATCAGCCACTTAAAGAGGAACACTTTTCCTGGAACCTTCATTCGTTATGATACCGATCCAAAGAGGAATGGATTTTTGGTTTTTATATATACAGCATCTGACACAGTGTTTCCTAAACTTTTTGGTCTCTGACTCATAAAATGGTACCAGAATGGTCTCATTATCCAAACCATCGGCTGGATTACAAATTATTTCAAAAAATCTATTAACCATTGGTATAACAGTAATAAAAACACAGTCAAAAAACAATGTTTTTATTTAGTCTACTTCTAAGTGGTGTTTCCATATTTTTAACACATAAATATATTTAATCATTATCATGTTTATAATTTAGTTGAATTTCTGTAGAGGTCCTCAAGACCCCACACTTGTTGATCTATACCCCAGGTGGTGCCACAGCCCCAACTTTAGGAATCAGTTATCCCTGCGTTTCCCCAGATTTTAACTTTCATAATATGATCTCCTCTTCCTTCATATCCTAAATGTGTCCTATTGGATTGGGATGAGTCCTTTGTCATGCTTAGGAAACCAGTCCATCAGAAAATTGGTTGTGGTTGGAAGGGTCTAGACATGGCTGGAATCAACACTAAGGCTGATTTTGCCTTTTAAAGGATGCTGAGTTTTTACTCAGGAGCCACAGTATATAAAAACAGCACATAAAAAAAAAGCCTGAATTGAACTGTTGATACGTCTGTTTTAAAGTCACTTATTTTTTTCATTTGGTAAGCTTGTGTAAACTATAACTTGTGTAAACTATAACCCTGTCATTAGCTGGCAGGAGCGGTTCTTAGCCAGGTGCTAATGGGGCTGAGATTAGCTCATAACTTGTTATCTTACAGTACAAAACATTTGTTCTTTTAGCACATTTGAATGTTACCCTGAACTACAAAACTGGCCATTCATAATCATCAGCAACCCTTGAAAGCTTGAATTTGGTAAAGCTTTATCTAAATAGATTAGTACTGGGTTACTGATAAAAAGCTGTTGTGAAACTTTATATTGTTGCCAAAGTCATAGTACTAATGTAAAAATTCATTCATTAGTGAAAAACACATTTACAAATATTTAATCCTGTATAAAATCTTTACAACTTTAATATTGTCTGTCTTATATCTTCCATATTGATTTTTTTTACAGCACAGAAAGCTGGTGATAATTAGGGATTTAACGAAAGAAACCATAACTTCAATATTTGCCATGATGGACTTGTTGGACTTGGACTCCATGTTTATTTCAGTATCCAGCTTAGGACACTGGTTTCAACCTGTAAGGCACATCGTGGCCAAACCCCTAAGGATTTTGCCGACTCACAGGATGCCCTTATTCCATCATATTACCAGGTGTTGCTAGTGGATTCTCTGACTCATCTCAATATTCACTGAGATCTACCGGTATGTCTTTTAGCAGTGACTTGGAAGTTGTGGAACTGTTGATACGTCTGTTTTAAAGTCACTTATTTTTTTCATTTGGTAAGCTTGTGTAAACTATAACTTGTGTAAACTATAACCCTGTCATTAGCTGGCAGGAGCGGTTCTTAGCCAGGTGCTAATGGGGCTGATGTCCTTGAAGGTCCAGTGTGTTGTTTATTCCACATTCACTAACATATAGGCTACATATGTTTTAAAATGTAGTGTTATAATGCAAGGATCAGATCAGCCTTTTGAATGTCCATATTTATGAGCTCACTGATTATTACTGTTTCTTATATATGAAGTACATGAAGATAAGTGCTGCTCACGCTAATGTCATTAAATAGTGATCCTTCTGAGGATTAATAAAATATTCATAGGTTTTTTTCAAAGGGGCAGCCTTCAGCTTAGTTTAAAACATAAAAATTTAATTCTATTCTTGTGCTATAGCCATCAAAAATAATAAATCAGACACTAATTCAGGTAAGTAGCCAAACAGTAAATGTGGATGTATATCAATGTTGTCTTCACATGATTTAACATTGTTTTTCATCTGACTTGCTTTAATAGAATTAATATTTTCTTGAAGAGGAACATTGCATTGTTTAAATTGGTTAGACAAATTATTTTGATTTGGAAAATGTAATTATATAGGGGAAAGAGTACTTTTCTACCTTTTTCAGGACAAAACTAACTCAGAATTTGTAAGTTTTTTAATATCACTGAGTTTTTAAATGCAATAGCAGTTTTAAGAGCAAAAATTTGTTGTCTGCATCAAGTTTCTGTTTAGACTAAAGAGAAAGTATTTAAAAGAAAGCTCAGATTTTTTAAAACATGCATCTAGCCCAAAATATTTGTCACACATTTAACAGTTAAACTTGAGCCCTGACATTTAAAAAAAAAGCCACCAGGTGAAAATCCCTCCATAAGATTAAGAAAGATTAACTATCACAAAAATAATTTATTTGTTTGAAATTTCCAGTTCTCTAAGTGTGTCAGTCAGAAGGCAAAAGTAACTTCCATTAAAAAAAAAAAAAAACATTTTAAAAGATTTTCAAGTTATAAGCTTTGTATCTAAATTATTATTAATCAAAATATGTCTGCAGTTAGATATCATGGCTCTTCTTTTAACTTTGTCCTTATACCATGTCCAAGGTTCATAAAAATCACACTTGAGTTCATTGAGTTCTTGTGTTCAAATAGCCCAGAACCCTGTGATAAAGAAACATTACACATCCTGCCATAAACTAATGTCAGACAGAATCTTGATAGTATAAAAAAACAAGCCTGCTGTTTTGCCTCAGGGTGCGAAAATAAAAAAGTTATTTTGGTCTTAAAATTAAAGCTGTTTTATTGTTATATTGCAGACATGCCAGCCAAGGCCTGTTGTACGTGACCTAAGAGCTCAGTGTGAGAAAAATATAGTATGGATGATGTATAAAGACTTTCATTACAGGAAAAACGAGGCCTTGAGAAAGTCAGCAGATTCGGAAATCAGCTGATGTCAGACACCTATGAGTCACTGTCATATTTCTGTCACATTTAGCACATTTCTTTTAGGAACTTTTCATATTTTACCCAACTTCTAAGATCTTTACATCATGTAGAGATGTGTAACAAGCCTTTAAAGAAATATATCATTTAAAATGATGATGTGATGTGCGGAAGAATACTTTAGAAGTATAAACCCTTTACTTTCAACATATTTAATCCAAAAGAAAGATGGAACATTTCAATTGCTAGACTAGCTGACACCCCTAATAACTCCCCTGAAAAATGTATTTTATTTAGTAGAGAGGGATGAAAAATGAGTTACAAAGACCTTCTGTCTAATGGCTTTTTTCTACATTTGGGAAAGAACAGGAGAACATGTACAATAGGCAGCAGCCTCCCAAGTCAACATGAATTGATCAGATAGTACAGTCAATTGCTGAAAGAAAAATATTCACCTTATCAGCCAAAGCTGCTGATATATAGTGTTTTTGAAATATTTAAGAAGTAAGAAAATTTAAAACAACTTCAAACAGATAGAAGCAGTCATTTGAATGCAAAACGCATATAAAAAACATCAGCACTATTAGCAGTTCATGAACAATAGGATAATAAGGGGGTATCTATTTTTGGGGGGTGGTAACTATCTTCCTTATACATTTAAAACCTACATAAATTAATATTAAATGGATCTAAGTCATATAGTTAATATACATGGCTGCAGCCATATATCCACACAAGTAAGTTTAATTAGTGCAGGGCATTTATAATAGCAGACACCACTTTAGGGTTTTCAGGTTGGACTGCAACTGTTTTGAGATTAGCTCATAACTTGTTATCTTACAGTACAAAACATTTGTTCTTTTAGCACATTTGAATGTTACCCTGAACTACAAAACTGGCCATTCATAATCATCAGCAACCCTTGAAAGCTTGAATTTGGTAAAGCTTTATCTAAATAGATTAGTACTGGGTTACTGATAAAAAGCTGTTGTGAAACTTTATATTGTTGCCAAAGTCATAGTACTAATGTAAAAATTCATTCATTAGTGAAAAACACATTTACAAATATTTAATCCTGTATAAAATCTTTACAACTTTAATATTGTCTGTCTTATATCTTCCATATTGATTTTTTTACAGCACAGAAAGCTGGTGATAATTAGGGATTTAACGAAAGAAACCATAACTTCAATATTTGCCATGATGGACTTGTTGGACTTGGACTCCATGTTTATTTCAGTATCCAGCTTAGGACACTGGTTTCAACCTGTAAGGCACATCGTGGCCAAACCCCTAAGGATTTTGCCGACTCACAGGATGCCCTTATTCCATCATATTACCAGGTGTTGCTAGTGGATTCTCTGACTCATCTCAATATTCACTGAGATCTACCGGTATGTCTTTTAGCAGTGACTTGGAAGTTGTGGAACTCCTGTTCATTCTACCCACACTCCACTGTATCTTGTGATTTTTAAAGAAATATCTAAAAAAAAAACATAATTATTTAAACAGACTTTTACTTAATTACCTCTTATTATCATTAAAAACATTGTTGTAAAACCATCCGGGGGTTTTATTCTTGAAAGGTGGTATAGATACCTAATAAATTCCTTTTCTGTCCTTTAAACCCCAACCTTTTTTGCACCACGGACCGCTACCTGACAGACAATATTTTCACGGACCCAACACCTATTCCCCCCGCCACCAGCCGCCACAACCCTTTCTGTGCGGCCGGGTACCAAATGACCCACGTACTGGTACCGGTCCGCGGCCCGGTGGTTGGGGACCGCTGCTTTAAACAACATCTGGCAACAAAATGCATAGACAGGCAGTTTTTTGGTCTAGCTGTATAAATCTATTTTCATGACATGTTCTGCATGCAAACATCTTACTTTCCCTGCATCGAGAGTAAGTAATACTGACCTTGTTATCTAGAAAAGCACCAATACACAGAATCTTCCTCTTCAGTTTCTGAATAAATGCACATTAAGCGCCTGTCTGTCTCTTTTAAATACGACAGATTTAGACAGATTTATTTATTATTTTATTTATTTAAATGAGAAACCTTTGGACAAACATCTGACTTTTTATTGTCAAATAGCTAGCAGTTATTAATTGTTCATCTGATTTGAAAATATTCGATCTGAACAAAACAAAGATGTTTGGTAAGTGGATGGTGTTTCATTACTATCTTAGAGACTAGGTTTAACGCCCCCTGCCATTTAAGCTAGATATTTTAAAAGCAATTGATTGTTTTGGTTAATACATTTATGTCTGCAAGCAAATCACTCTTACAAAATTAAAGTTCAGATTTCTTTATGATTAGGCTATGACAATTCAATATAAATTTGTTTTAACACTTTTTAACCATTTAGTTTTCTTTTACCAGGTGCCAGATTGAGTGTACTGTACTAAGGGCTGTATCTGTGGTCTGGTAGATCAGGAATACTTAAATGCATTTCAATTTTCTCCTGTTGTATAGAAAACTGACCTATAAGCAAAATTACATGCAAATATTAAAATTATCTTATTGCAAATGCTGCTGCATGTAGACAGACATGGAAGAGTAGCACTACTTCATAAAGCACAATAAAGAATTACTCAAGAGTAAAAAAGGTGGTGTGCAAAAAATTTCACTCAACTACTGAGCAATTGATCCACTTACAGCTCAGATCATAACATCTGATTTAATATTTAATGATGATGTAAAGATATATGCATCACTCATTATGTGTGTCTGTATACAGGCAAAGCCAGCCCCTCCATACCCACCCCCTTTGTGTAAATACTAAGTTTGACTGGAAACGGTAGCAGGTAAACAGACTATATTTCTGTCTCAGCAGCCAGAGTGAGTCAGGCACCAGGATCGCCACTATGCTGGATTGGTCCGTCCTTTGCCACATCATTAATGGAAAAACACCACGAAAGCAGAAGAGACAGTAACGGGAAAGCAGAGCTCTGGCTGAACTGTAAAAGAGCCCTTCTGTCCATGTTCTGGCCTGCAGCCAGATGGCAGCTGCAAAGGTGTGTCAGGGAAAAGTGCAGTTAGGAAAAAGTAGTTAGGTCCACTTCATAAACTCTACAGTGACCCAGACAAAGTCCATGAATTACATTTTGTGGGAGATTGGGTTGTAAATTAGAAAAAACACAGCTGGTCTGGGTTTGTCTCAAGGACTTTAAGTTGAGCGTTGAAGATAAAAGACGGACTTTGACATAGAAGTCATCATATAAAGTGGAGAAGCACCAAAAGGCTGTTCTATCTAGCCGAGAGAGGAAAATGGCCATGTGGAAGACAGTTGGACCTCTGTTCCTACTACTGCATGCTGGTAAGAACTGTTTTTTTAAGAGAAGTTACATACACACCAACTGTTAAATAAGTAGTTGTTTTTTCATGAACACATTTTTGAGAACATCCTGTTATTTTATTTGGATATGCTGAGCAATACATGTAACATTCCTGAGCCATGACAACGGCAAAAAATGAATATTTAAATAAGGTATAAATTTTCTTTGTATCTTCTGAAAAAATTATGTAAAAAATTTAATATTTAAAATACATGGGTAGCCGTTTCTGCAGTAGCTGCAGTTTGTTTTGAGAACATTTTCAAATTTTCTGTCCCGTTCAGTAAAAAAATACTGAATAATATTTTTGTAATCATCAGTGTTCGGCCAGAGCACCATCAGATGGTGCACTGTCTCTGACCAAGAACAAAGGAAATGTCAGGCTATGTCCCAGGCTTTCTCTGAAGTCTCCATCCGTCCCTCCCTCAGCTGCATCAAGGGGCTTACAGTAGAGGGCTGCATTAAGAAACTACAGGTAGGATTTCCACAACATGGATAACATAAATCTGCAATTTATGAGTTATGTTAAATAAACTCAAATCAATTTTCATGTTTTCAGTAAGCACAATGCATAGCAGAGAACTCATGAAAAAATGAGAAAGTGAAACGTTTGATTGGATTTCCAGGTTACCATAAACTAACAAAGCCTCAACTCCACCTGATGTTAACATACCCTTTGTACAACAGAGAAATAAATGTTAAATGCTAATGTTTAAATGCAATTTATGAAATGTGTGAATTTATATGTAGTTAATCAATGCCCCCTAAAGATGAGAGGATGACAGAACTATCACCATAATAAATCCTGACATACGGTATTTGCTATTCATCACTTCAGGATAAAGAAGCCGACGCCTTGTCCATGTCTGCCCCTAACATCTACGAGGCCATGAAGACCACCACTTTCAAAATGGCTGCAAGCGAATCAAAGGCTGGTGGTAAGATTCAGCATTTGACTGAACTGCTCATACATAATGTTCCCCATATATAATCTCATAGCTTTGTTACATTATGTGATGCAAAAATTGTAATTGTAGTTTTAGTTTTTTTTTTTTTTTTTTTTTTTTTCCAATTTCATGCTCTGCCCAAAAATCTGAATAGACTTATAGTTTTTGAGTTTTATTTTTTGCTTGGAAATAGAGGCTATATTTGTGATGGTTCTATCTTTCTTGGTTTATCTTTACTTATCATGACTGACTGATTTGTTAAGGCAAACGAAATTGATAACACTGTATGCCTTTTATCAGTAAAAAGGTAACACATTAAATGTATGGTGATAAATTATTAACTGGAGGTAAACTGGGTGAGTCGGAAAGTGTTTATGCAGGCAGATTTTTAGTTGAAACACCTGTTATATCTGGACTGTAGTCTCTGTATTGCACTTGGTACATCTTGAAATCTTACTGCACTTTGATCATAAAAGTGATATGTCTCTGCTCTGATGATAAGAGTAGAGAACCACTGAGCAAAAGTATATAGGATAAAGATATACAAGCACAGTTATAGGTCACTGTTTCAATATATGCTGTGGTTTTCACCAGATACCAGCTCCTACTATGCAGTTGCTGTTGTGAAGGCAGCTAACTCTGCCATAAAGATCAACAATCTGGCGGGGAAGAAAAGCTGCCACACAGGGAAAGGGCGGACAGCTGGATGGAAGATGCCGTTGGGATACCTCATTGACCAGGGTTACATGTCTGTGATGAGTTGCAACATCCCACAGGGTAACAATCCATAGGAATCAAATTAATTTGGACAAATTATGTACATATACAACATGATGCAGGCATGAGCCACAGGATTGCATCATAGCTGCAGAATTGCATTAGGTCCTCAATCAGATTTTTGCTCCATTTCCCTATGCAAGCAAGATTTAAAAAACCATGAGCAAAATGTTTTGCTAATTTTGGGAGGGGAAAGGGCATTTATAAAATATAATTAAAATTTTCTGATTCCTTTTTTCTATTGTATGCAAGTAAATCCCAAAAACAGTTTTTTTCCCAAGCTTGTGAATTAACCACATTTATTTTGCTTGTAAATTCCCCACATACACTTTATGGCCTTTCAAATGAAATAAATGAATGAATAAATGAAAATAAAGTTCTACAGTATATACAGTATAATCAGCATGCATGTATGCTTTTGCTTGTGTTTTTGATCAGCTGTAGCAAATTTCTTCAAAGCGAGCTGTATCCCAGGCGCAAACCAGGCTGGTGATCCTCCTTCTCTATGTGAGCTTTGCAAGGGAGATGGCAGCGGAAATCACAAATGTGAGATGAGTGAGCAAGAGATGTACTACAGCTACGAAGGAGCTTTCAGGTAGCACATGCCTTCATAATAATAATAATAATAATAATTGAACTTTACTGATCTCACATTGGAGAAATTTACCTCTGCATTTAACCCATCCCCTTGGGGAGCAGTGAGCTGCCATTGTGTGGCGCCCGGGGAGTAGTGTGAGGTTAAGGATTTCAGGAACCCAGAGTGGAAGCTGCGGGGATCGAACCAGATAGATAGACAGACAGACAGACAGACAGACAGACAGACAGAAGGATGGACAAAAGCATATAGATAAGACAACATTGCTTTTCAATACCAACAGCTATCTACTTTAATGTTTTCATTCTAGATGTCTGGCGGAAGATGCAGGAGAGGTGTCTTTCATCAAACATACTACTGTTGGAGAAAACACTGATGGTAATAACTGACAAACTGTAAGTTTATTACTGTTTGTGATTAATTAATGACACCGCTAACCAGACATTTGTCCTGCAGGTAAAGGACCAGCATGGGCCTGGCCCCTAAAGTCTTCAGATTATCAGTTGCTGTGCAGAGATGGGACCAGAGCTCCTGTCTCTGATTGGAGTCGGTGCCATCTAGCTCGTATCCCCTTTCGCGGCATTGTGGTTGGCAAAGATATTACTCCCTCTGTGGTACTCAACATGCTGAATGATGGTTTGGTACGTTGAATGGTCCCTAATCCCACTCAAATTATTGTCTAGATTCTTAAATTGGACTATAGTAAAAACAAAGGCAGAGGAGAAAAGTTGCCACGAAATTGAAGCATGCCAAGGTTTGTGTATTCAACCTTAATAACAAGGATATCCCTCAAGATGAAAATATCTCATCATTATTACTAACATCATATTTTAAAGAAACCAAGGCTGAAAGAGTATATTATCAAAATTTACAAGCCAGAGGGTTGATCTTAATGCATAACAATAAAACATGTAGTAAAAGCATTATATTTCAACTTAAGTTCAGCTGAAGGATAGCTGTGTAATAAAAGCTCAGAATGTAGGACCCAATATTCAAGGTGAGACAGACAGTGGGAAGGTTAAAAACATTTATCAAAATAAGACAGAACACCGCCCATCACTGACACTCTGGCAAGGGAGAAACACAGGTAAGTGACCATGATAATCTGAAAGATGATTATCCATGAGGGTCACTTACCTGGTTCAACAGTTCACTCCATCTTTTCGAATGAGGCAGGATCGTGCTGATGGACTTCCAATGAGATACGGTGGGAGTCGCCCAGAGTGTCCCCGGTGCAGCAGCCTCAGTGAACAAGCATTAATCCGAGCCCAGTCAGGGAAAGAGTTCAGAACAGGAAGGCTCAGAGATCCAGGAGTCTGCAATCCGGCCAGGGGTGTCAATCAGAACAGGAACAGACAGATCCAGGGTTCCAGGAATGCACAAAGCGTTCATGCAAGTTCAGGGTTCAATGAGTCCAACAGAGAGTACAAGCAGAAACGCTCAGATAGAAAAAGGCAGGCCCAGTAGCTGAAAGCCAGAACAAGACACAATACCAGAAAAACTACGGAACTTTAAACTAGCTCCCCTCACTGAGCCAACATAGGAACAGGGCACGCTCAGTGGATGAAAGCCAGGATATGATCAGTAAACACTAAGACAAGACTAAAAATCCTCTCTAACCACTGGCCTCTAAGAATGAGAACATGAACTATGGAAATCCGCCATGATCTCCAACTAAAACTCAAATTCAAACAAATGTTGTCAATGATCTCGCCCCGATAGCTGGGCTGAGCCGTATATAAAGCAGCAGGAGCAAAAGACTAGACTACAATACTGTGTTCCGTATTGTACACCTAATCTAAACCACATAATGAGGTGCAAGTGGCACACCTTTGATTAATGACTACTGCCTGTGTATTAATGTCTACTGAAATATATAATGTAGAAGAAAATGTAGCTTCACTAAGAATTGTCTTAATTAAAAAGTAAATAAACCTTCATCTTTGCTACTCAATGTTTAGCGAGAGCTCTGATAGACAATCACCCAGGAACATAATCAAATATATATTTTTTGATACTCTCTCACAACATTACTGTAGTGCAGAAATGCAAATGTGATCTGAAATTTAGGATCAGTCCCTGAAAACATGAATTCATTATAAAAAATATTGATTCTTACGAAGATACCTGAAACAGCTTAAAGAAAATTTGAAGCTCATCATTAGTGTAGAGCCTTGGGGGATTTCCCTTTAAATTTTTAGAAAGCTGGGCTTCTGTGTTCTACCTGAAAGGTAGTTAACCTTCATCTTGCAAACAAATATCAATGAGTCTTAACACCAAAATATTATTCATAGAATTCAAGCATGGGGGTCAATATATCCCTCCTGTGAGGCTTTATTAATGGTGCGTATTTGAACAGTAACCTTTCTTTTTTAGGCAAAGTCAGGCTTCAACATGTTCTCTTCTGCGGATTATGGTGGAGGAACTGTTCTTTTCTCTGAATCAACCACCAAGTTTGAGGGGGTAGAGTCAGACGACCCAATAAGGTGGATGGGCACCAACTATTACAACGTCATGAAAGCCACGGATTGCACACCTGCAGGTAAGGCAATAAACATGTGAAGATGTAAAAAATCTGAAAAGCACAGAGTATTAAGAGATTGGATTTTATTAATTTAAACATTTGTTTCAAGAAAGTAAAAAAAATGTATTATCCATAAAAATAAACAAAACAGAACAGCAGCAAATGTGACGAGAAAAAATAACAACCTATCACTTTTATGTGTTTTTCTACTCAGACATTCCTTCTTCGATTCGATGGTGTGTTTTGTCGAGCGCTGAGCAGCAGAAATGTGGTGATATGGGTAAAGCCTTTGCTGACAAAGGTCTGACCCCCAGCATCCAATGTATTTACGGAGACTCTCTGACTGACTGCATGGCCAAGATCAAAGTAACAGATTTACAATTAAAGATTTAGCTTATTATATTGACAGGAAAATGTTTAACATAATCTCAATTTCACTTTCATTGTGTAGAACAATGACGCTGATGCCATAACCTTGGATGGAGGGTACATTTACACAGCAGGCAAAGACTATGGTCTGGTTCCTGCTGCGGCCGAGAGCTACACAGGTACACCGTCTGAAAAGAACAAATATGATCATGTTTTTTTTTAGAATCATGTTATTGTATTTGAAAACTCTTAAATTCCTGATTTTCTTTTTTGTAGATGACCATGATGGTTCCACGTACTATGCTGTTGCGGTGGTAAAAAAAAGCAGTTATGACATCCCTAATATTGACAGCTTGCGTGGCCGTCGCTCCTGTCACACTGGCTATGGTCGCACTGCTGGCTGGAATGTTCCTGTATCTACCCTGATGGAGAAAGGACTTATTAGCCCCAAAAACTGTCGGATACCCCAAGGTTGGTTTGAGTGTGTGGGAGCCAAGAATGATAGGAAATGACATGTACTCTGTCTTGCTGACAACAGAAAAGAAATATTCAAAACAAAAGCAATGTCTTAAGAAATTATACCCTGCCGGAGCACTTGACCACCTTTGGAAGAAGTTTGTGAATCAAAACATTACAATGTTAAACACTGTGTGGTGGTTGCAAAAATATGATAATAACTTATTAAGTTTAAAATTTACAAAAAAAAAAAAAAAAATAGCTCTGCATAACAAAATCCAATGTAAGGTGAGGTCAAAGAAGGGCGAATCGTGCAGAGAATGGAGAGATCTGACCAAGGTATGAAATTAGTCAGAGCAGAGAGAATAATTACAGGACCGACAGATGACTGGAGGAGATGACTGAACAATAAAAGATCACAGGAAAGTGCTGAAGATGTGCCTCCAATGCAGATTTGATGTGTAGTGAGGGAATATGCTGAGCTCTGGAGAGGTCTGTAGAACCTTGAACCCACTTAGACTAATTTTATTGCCATTTTGTATACACTCAGTGTATTCAAAATGAAATTTCATTTTGTACAGCTCTCATGACATTTCCATTCCTTAAAGTGCAGCAGTGATCAAATACAAAGATGTAAAGATCAAATGTAAAGATTCAGTGCTGTGATGTAAAGACGGGACTCTGAGAGTCATGCCTTCAGGTGGCCTGTTGAACCAGAATAAATGTGAGATTAAATGTGTAATTTAGTCTGGCCCTGATGAATGAGACATCGGAAGATAGTTGATGAGAACAACCCCTTGTTTTTCAAACCATGTCTGTGCCTATTGGCAAACGCTCTGACCAATGAGCTTAACTGACTTTGATGTAGAAAGCGCGACAGAAAGCTGGTGGGGGAGTGTTAACAAACAGCCTGTCGGTAGAACGGCGAATACGTCCTTCTTAAAAGCAAATGAGCGTAGGGCCTCTTCCCGCCCACGTTTCAACAAAAACCCAAAGTCTAAACCTTAAAAAACTGATTCCAAAGCTGAGTCAAAATCTGCCGTCAGAGCCAGCGGTCCTTCACACAAGACTATGCCGAGAGAGGCCCGCTGCAGACGGGCTGCGGTTAGCCCTGGCTGCTGTTAGCCTTGGAAGTTCGCTGGTTGCCGCGATCCTCTGAACAAAAAATAGTTTTTTTTAAATTACGTATTAAATCAGTAAATGGACCATATAGTGACACTTTAAAGTATAATATTCTTGCCTCAAATGATCTTAAAACATACTTTTATTGAACAACAGCAACAGAAAATACAACTTTTAACTTTCAATGGAGCGCTCCATTGAAAGCTGCTGCTGCCGAAGTGCATGCTACTGTTCAATAGTTGTTGCCATCTTCTTTGTTGTGCTTTCTCCAGCGTTGCGCAGCTCTGTAGTCATGCCCTCAAGACCCCGCCTGCTTTGCATCCAAAAATTCATAACACATCTCTGCGTTGTGATTGGCCCGCCAGGTCTAGTGCCTGGGGCATTGATCGAGGCTAGAACAAACTCGCAGGCAAAAATGATTTTGGCCACTGGCAGGTGGGGCTAGTTTACTAGGCTAGCCTTCAGGCTTATTAACCCAACCTTGGGCTAACGATCCCTATCTTTTAGCAAAAACTGACATGTTCTACATACATCCTCTGTGCATTCCTTAGCAAATACTTAGCATGTTACTTTGGTTGCCTCCCCAATACAATACATAGTGTGCAATATAAATATGTCAAATATTAGGGGATGGGGAAGGACCCAAATAAAGCAATAAAAAATAAATGAAACTAATTAGTCCAATAAGGAGTAGATGGATTAGAGTAGACGGATTAAATGAAAAATCTCTGGTGTATATTATCCAGAGGTGTCCTGCTTAACATGACTTTGTATTTTATGACTCCTGTAATGCTTAGCTGTGAGCGAATTCTTCCAAGAGAGTTGTGTTCCCGGTGCCAATCAGGATGGATTCCCCAGTAACCTGTGTGGTCTGTGTGTGGGAGACAGCTCTGGACAGAAGAAATGTGAAAAAGGAATAGATCTGTATGATGGATATGATGGAGCATTCAGGTACTGAATAAAATCTCTTTTTGTTTTGCCTCTTCAGAATGGCATGCTTTTCTGTAGTTTTTCTAATTTTAAAATTTTAAAAGTTATATTGTGCTCAATATCATACAAAAAAAAAACAAACATAAGCTTAATTTAAAAGAATGTAAAATTGTGAAAACAGTGGCATTGTTCAATAAGCTTTTAACACAATGTCTGCCAAAAGATTTTTGTCAGTGGAAGAATGAGGGAGCATTAAAAGGGTTTCATGAATAAAAAGTGAAAAGTGTATTTAGTCCCACAGTGTCAATAACATACAACCATCTGTCAATCAACCTTTATGACACTAACTAGGGCAGCTAAACACAAGAAATAAAGCCTCTTCTTGTAGCTCTGACAACATGTTTAAAGTGGACCTTCTGTAGGATGAACCTTTGCCCCATTTTAAAGTCTCAGTGATGCCCTATATTAAGATTAAAGTTCCCATAAATCCTGACCACTTTTGCTGTTTCTTCTGGAGAAAGTCATTCACACACAATGATCATGCCACCATTCTATTTTTTTTTTTTTGTGTGTTCTTACCTGAGCAGAACAATTCATGTTTGCTTCTTTTAAACATTAGCTTTCTTTGCTTCTTCTAATGGAGGCTCCCACCTGAGCTGTGGGTCTCTTTAGTTGATTTAACGATGGATTTATTGATTTTATTTATCTCACAGTGGAGAAATTTATTTGTTAGTTGTCTTTAAAGGATCACATTTGTGCCATTCTCTCCATTTTTGGCTGATGGGTTAAATAGTGTTATTATTATAATTTAGGATTAGTACTTTGCACCTGCCTTGCACCAGAAAGCTCTCACCTTAACTTGACTAAATATGTTGAACCACAGTAGCAGTTTTCTGTTATTACTTTAAATTGAATTTAAAATGTAAATGTGTTGATTATGTATACAAGTACTTAATTGAGAGACATCATTTCCTGTAGGAGCATTATTTTTCCTGGAGCAAAAATATGTTTTCTTTTGTTGAAAAATAATTTTATTAAAATAACTAAAAGTAAAAAAAAAATAAGGTCGATTTCAAGATGAGAAAGAAGAGAGAGTTTTAGAGAGTAGGTATTAATTACACCTTTTAAAACAAATTTAATCACCAGTATTTTCATCTTCAGTCTGACCTGTGTATCCCAATGATTCAGTATCTACAGGTCTCAGCATTTATTGAATTGGACGTACATTTAGAAATAAAGGAAAGTAAAGAATATTTCATACAAACTTCATGGTCACTCACTGATTTTTTGAATGACTTTGCTCTCATTCTAGTTGTGGAACTGACATGGAGACTTTGCTTCCATATCAAATGCGGATGCTTAAGAGATCTTTTTTTTTTATTTACTCATTTAGGTGTCTCGCTAGTGGGGATGGAGACGTGGCTTTTGTCAAACATTCCACTGTTTTCCAAAACACAGATGGTAGGAGAAGTTCATCTTAAAACAGGCCTGACGGATTCAGAAATTAACTGGCCTGGCTGCTGTTTTTTTATTTTTTTTATTTTTTTAGGGAATTCAAAGGAAAATTGGGCTGTAGATCTTTTGTCCAAAGACTTCCAGCTGCTCTGTTCCAATGGAGCTAAAGCTGAGGTCACAAATTACAAGCTGTGTAACATGGCCAGAGTTCCCTCTCATGCTGTAATGGTGCGACCAAACACCAACATCCATGCCATCTATGGGCTCCTGGAGCGTGCACAGGTAAGAAAGTTCCAACATTGCATGTATAAAAGTAAACAGAGGTGTCAAAAGTGTTAACGTTTATTACTCAAGTAGAAGTTGAAATCCTACTGTTTAAAAAACACTTTTGTAGAAGTTAGACTATCAACTTCAGCTTTTTACTCAGGTAAAAGTGTAAAAGTACAATTTTTAAAACTTCTTAAAATATAAAAGTATAAGTAATGCAGGAAAAAATGGTAAGGACAGATGTTTTACGACACTAGCCTATGAAATGAATTTTTTTCTGTAATTCCTACTTATACTTAATTTTGGTTTCTAATTGCAACAGTGTCAAATTTAACATTATATAATCTTTAAAAACTATTTATTTTGGTAAATAGTGGACGACAAGTTGGTGCAGTACCAAGTCCAACAACAAAGAAATTAATTGTTTGGATGAAACAAATAATTTTTATGGTTTTATTTTCGTTAAGTACCAACAGGACATAAGGAAAATGAGCTTAAATAAAACAAAACTGAAAAGTCTATTTCTAAAATTTACGGAGTAGAAAGTAGAGAAAATTGCAAAATAAATGTAAGGAATAGAAGTAAAAAGTAGTCTATTACATAGAGTATAGTAAAGTATAGATAGCCAAAATTAAGGTAACAAGGTTTTTGTACTTTGTTACTTGACACCTCTGAATGCAAATAGGGTAAAATAATATAAATAAATAATCATCTGAAGGAAGAAGGTCAAAATGTTATTTAAGTTTAGTACAATGCTAAAGATTTACGATAGAAAATAATACATTTCAAATGGCTAATTGCTTCTTTAAAAATGTTATTTGACATCAGCATCTATCAGTCACATCACTGATGAGCTGTGGAAAAATGTGTGTCCAAAGACAGATTCTAATAACAAACTTAACTTTGGCAGTCATGCTGCCTTTTCTCCAGTTTTCCTAAAATGTCTTCATTTTCTGCAGACCTACTTCAGCAGTGACACAGGTACCGTTTTCAAGATGTTTGATTCTAATGAGTACCAAGGCACAGACCTCATTTTCAAAGACTCCACTGTTCGCATTGTGGGAGTTGGTGACAAAAAGACCTACCAGGAATGGCTGGGTAATGGCTACCTGAACTCCCTGGTTGACATGGAGTGCAACTCTTCAAGTGCAGGTAAAATTATTTGGCTCTCCGAAAGAAATATTTTATAATCTGAGAGAGTTTCCTTTTTTTTTAATAGTTTGATGCAAAAGGTAGCTGTCTGTATAAATTGGCTTTAAATAAAGATCAGTAATTGTATTTAAATTTGATTATGCTTACTTCACCATTACAAAATAAACCTTATGACACTACAAAAAGATTCAATATAACGTGTTCAGAAATAAAAATTCAATTGATTGCAGTCAAAAACAGAGATTTTAAGTTGATTTCATAGATTCCCTTTCAATCCACACCTTAGCAACTGCTTTGAGTGACTAACTTTAATGCAATTAATCCTCATAAGCTATATTTGGAGTGGAGTGTGCAATGTAGAGTTGACTCCTTAGAGATAGAAACTTATCATATACTGAGAATGAAATTGGGAAGATGAGCATCCTTAACTAAAATATTACAGGTTAAATGTAATAAAAGACATAAGGCACATACAGTATTAACTTCAGAGGTGCTGGTAAGGGGGTTTATGCATTATTTCATAAGCCAAATACACATGTGCTCACACATAAATGTGAGGTTATTGTGCTGGTGAAGATTCTCAGTCATCCAGGAAATAGTTATTTCAACAAAGTAAAAAAAACAAAACTAAAATAACAAACCAATGGACTTTGTTTTCCAAGTTTGTTTACATTTTGGATAAAGAAGACCGGTGGTTTGAAAGGGGCGTGAAGGAAGCCATTTATGTTAAGAGAGAAAAAACAACCTTAAACAGCTGCAGGGGACCAAAATATCTCGCCTGGTCAGCCAGGCCAACAATTACCCTAATGAATCCCTTTCCAGTATCGGGTCTTGCAGGCCAACAATGACCTTAAAAAAATACCCATTACTCAGGGGTGGACCTGTTGTTTCGGGTCAATTTGCATGTTTTCTAACACATAAGATGGCTTTTGTTTGCGCCACTCTACGTATGAGTCTGGAACTCAAACTCTACTCCAGACATTTTGAATTGAGAAAGCTTCCTGGGTGGGAAACAAAACATCTTCAAACTTGGAAAACAAAGTCCAGTGGTTTGTTTTTTTTACTTTTTTTTCTCCCGAACTTTGTTGGAATGTGGCTTTTGTATAAGCAGCACAGTTAATGAAGTGACAGATCTGCAATTTGTTGACTGTGTGATAGAAAGGCTTTAATATTTTCTTATTTTCCTTACAGTGGTTTCCTCAGCATTGCTGCTGCTATTGGCTTTACTCAGCCTCATGCTGACCAACGTCTGGATGTAAAGCAGTGACTACAGTCTTTCCCTAGGCTGTCGTGTTTGCATTGCCTCTTGCTACCACAAAATTATCTATTTCTCACAAATATCAATCAACCAGTAACCACCTTTTCCCCCCACTTTCAAATATCAAAAACTGATTTTGTAGCTAACTGATTTCAATTGCTGCCCTGTATAATCACTACCATCTAGGGTAGTGTGTATCCCCTCCTTTGTGAAAACACAATACCATTGTTGGCCTCATATAATTTCTGTGTTGGTTTGCCATCTAGAAAAAAACAAAGCTTGAGCAGAATTTGGATTTAAATGGTGCAATTGTTAAATGGAATAGAGCACATTTTGTTTGGCAGAGATTTGAGTCAGCAAGCGAAAAATTACTACATGTGAGAATAAGCTGGAAGGTGTTTGGTGTTTCTTTGTTTACCGAGGGTGGGCTGCCATATCAGTGTGTATGCTGCCACCTGTTACATTTACAGAGCACTTTTTCCTCTTCCAAACTTGCTTTACAAAAGGCTTACTTAAAAGTTTACATAAACCACTTAAAAAGGGTTGCCTCCATGTTTACCTCAAGAAACATTTACTTCAATACTGCAACAATTTTAATGCATTTTAAAAGTCCTTTAGTCATCTGTTTCTCACTTCTTCTGACCAAAACAACTCGCTCTACAAACCCTTCCCTCATCAGATGTGCTGCACTTTTCCATCACCTCATGCTGATCAGATGTGTATTTTCCTACAATCAAAGATATATTTTTTTATGAAGTTCAGGTGCCATATCAGTGTATATGTACTGACTCATGCTGTCAGACACTATTACATTTTCTTCCTTTTGATAGAGATTTATTTCTTTGTGAAATTATAAAATGCTCGACTAATATTTAGTTGCCAGGCCAGTGTGTCTGCATAAGTATTACCTCATAAGCTGTTGAATGTCTTTGCTTGTTCAAATGAAATAAACGTGTAAGCAAAATTAACTGTGGGTGATTTTTTTGTCAACCTTCTTTTCTCTACCATTTTAGTTCTTTAAACAGGGTTTTAGCTTTTTGAAACAACCACTGTTCCATCTCCAACATTTATATAGTCATGATATAGATGAAGATTTTTTGATTTTTTTTGTTTCTTTTTTTCCCCTCCTTTGAGTTCTTTCATAATCTATTACAATTGTATACTAAATATTTTTTTTGTATTAGCACAAGCTTCAATAATATCATGATTTTACATTTTGTATCTTTTTAGAAATTCGTTATTCAACACTCACAAATTGAAGTATGAGGAAGTTACCATAGAGTGTATTGTTGGTTAAAGGCTAGTCCAGCCAGCCATTAGACAGAATGTTGAGGTGTTATTCTTATACCCCATTAGATTCAGCTACCCAGGAGGCTGCCCTTGCAGATGGTACAGCAACTGAGACTGAGGGAGATATGAGCAGCCACTTTAAAAGTGAGAGAAAAAAGAGAAAGATGAGTGGGATAATCAGCCAGTCTGCTAAAAAGGAAAGGTATGGTGTGAGAAAAAAAAAAAGGTCAGTGAAGGATGCAGCCAGGTTATGCAGTAAGTTATCAGATATTGTGTCTAGTGGAGGGGCTAGCTTATCAGCATAAGTGTCCAAAGTACTCACATTCATTACCTAAGTAAAGGTACAAAAGGACTGATAAAAGTAAAAGTACAGATCAAACTTCTTTACTTAGGTAAGTAAAAGTAAAAGGTACAGCTTCTTCATTGTACTGAAGTACAAAAGTAAAATTAAGTTTTTGCCTTGAATTATATAAAATAACTTTCAATATCCTTATTCTTAAAAACAGTTTTATGCACAGAAAACATAAAGTTTCATCTTCTGCTAACTGTGTTGGTGGAGAGACTATAAAAATTCCAACAGGATGATATAGATTGAACTAAACAGAAGTCCTTTAGAAGTGGTTGAATACTTTTAGAGCTTGTATTGACAGCACTTAAGTTGTAAACAGCATTGGAAGCTGTTCAAATGGTGGTATTAAATACTAAATCAAATAAGAAGGTGTATAAAAAATAAACTTTTCCAAATCAAAATCTTTTAACATTAACCAAAGACAGTGACCTGATGCCATCGCTATAGCTTTCCTTGGCTATAAGACCTGAAATCTATTTAAATTTAAATATGTAATAAATTCCTTTTGAATAAAATGAACTTTAATTTAATCCATTGTTTTATGTATTTAGGGTGACATTGAAATTAATCTTATAAATGTTAAGTCTCTTTATGATTGGGCTGAACTAAGAGTACATTTGTGTAAAAATGTGTGTTTTTCAAAAAGTGCATTTAGACACCTGGTGAGATATAAACTGAATAGTTATCTATATTTCTGATGCCCTGTTGTCCATTATTTTTTGCAGACCCAAACCTGGATGAGGAACAAATAAAATTGAATGGTTCTCCAGCTTTTATCTGTATTATTTAGTATTTAACAGCTTTTCTGAGCTGCTTTGTACTTCCACCCACTGCTTTAGTTTAACACAAAATCTGCAGATATGGTCAAATCTTACAAAATGATTGTTAATGCACTATAATTCAAATTGTCTCCCTGTGCCCATTACCAGAAATAGAAGTTTATTCATCCATCTGTCCATCCATCTTCTTCCGCTTATCCGGGGTCGGGTCATGGGGGTAGCAGCTTCATTAGGGGGGCTCCCTCTCCCCAGCCACTTGGGCCAGCTCCTCCGGGGGAATCCCAAGGCATTCCCAGGCCAGCCGAGAAACATAGTCCCCCCAGCGTGTCCTGGGTCTCTCCCTGGGACGTGCCTGGCACACCTCACCAGGGAGGCATCCTAATCAGACACCCGAGCCACCTCAACTGGCTACTCTCGATGTGGAGCAGCGGCTCTACTCTGAGTCCTTCCCGGATGACTGAGCTCCTCACCTGAAATCTAAGGGAGAGCCCAGAGAAACTACGGACAAAACTAATTTCAGCCGCTTGCATCCAGGATCTTGTTCTTTCAGTCATGACCAAAAGCTCAAGACCATAGATGAGGGTAGATGGCAAATAGAAGTTCGTAGATCAGATTATTTATTCAAACATTTCTGATTAATTCATACTATATACATACAGATATTACTTTACACATCTAAATATGATTCCAGTAGTATATGTTTTACATGTGCAGTGGTAAAGAGGCGCTAAGGCAGAATATCAATTTCTTATTTGCACAGTGGGAGAGCAAATAGGGAAAAAAATACATATGTGTGCGGCTTTAGAAGATACAAACACATTCTGTAGGAATTATCCAATATGGTAATTGATTGTTTAAAATTCTAGTGTCAATAAAATGTGATAAAGACACACTTAACTTTATATTCCAGCATTCATTTATATCTGCTTCCTTTCATTTTAATACAAATAAACACTTTTCAGTTTTCATTTTTTTTCAAAAAGTGAAGCTTATCTTCAAATGAAAGCAGTAGGTGCAAAAATACTCCCGTTTGACAGCTGATTATGTGGATTTCTGCTGTTCATTGATCTTTTCCTCCCACAGACCAAACTCTGATCATCAACTGCCAACAGTCATTTCAACATCATCGTTTCTTGATCCGCGTGGATCCCTCCTTCCAGCCGTCCTTCACCTCCTTGACGAAGGTCTCTCGGACCCTCCGTAGGCGGTTGCTCACCTCCTCCAAGTCATCGGGGACTCTACCGGCTTCCTGTCGGACCTGCCGCAAGGTCTGGGACCTCATGACTCGATCCGATGTGTCCCGGCCGATAATCTGAGCTTTGGTGAGGGCGTAGGCTGTAATCTGGGCTGCCCTGCGAATGGGACGAGACTCCGCTAACTTTTCAATGACCTGAAGGTTGTTGATAAGATACACCAACATGCGAGAGAGCATTTTGTCTACTTGGCTGATTCGTCCTCTTCTTTTAACGCTGCAGTGAAACCTGTTTAAATCGGGGAGATACATATTTTTATTTACCGACTAGGTGGTAATTATATAAATGTTTTGATTCATTACATTTAGACATTTTACTTACTTTAGCTTGAACGGGCAATGTTGTATTTACAGTCAAATGACATTTAAAGGGGCGACGGATGTTTGGTAACAAAACAAGGGAAGTCTCTTCTTCTTCTTTTAGATCTCACTGAAGCCTCTTTTCATTGTTACATTACTGCCCCCTGCTGGCTGACTGGGATACTGGAGTTTTTTTTTATTTATTTAAGTCATAAACATTTACATGAAAAAATACTCTCAGAGAGGATAGCAAAGTTGTACATGAACAGATAAAGGTCAATTACAATAAAAGAGAAACAAAAATGTAAGACAACTGACAGGGGGATTTATCTGAGCAAACATTTAAACCAAACATAGACAGAGCCATAGAAAAAATAAAAAACAAAAAGGTGAATGCACTTAGAATAGCAGATGTTTGGAGAAAGCAAGTCTCAATTTTTTTGGCATTTTTTGTCTTTAAAAAAAATATTTTTAAGAGAAGAAAAATATGTTTTAAAGTCATTTATAAACCAGTGAAAGGAAGGTTTAGATTTTTTCCATTTAGCACAGTGGATATGATATTTACCCAACAGCAGGAGGACATTAATAGTATAAGAAACAGTCTTGGGAGAATGGTGGGATAGTGGAGTTGATCGCAGTAACACCTGTTTAGATTGGGGAGATACATATATTTATTTACTGACTATGTGTCATATACATATGCAACAATTATATCAATGTTTTAATTCCTTATATTTAGACATTTTACGTACTTCAGCTTGGACGGGCAATGTTATATTTACAGGATGTTTGGTAATAAAACAAGGGAAGTCTCTTCTTCTTTTAAATGTTACATTACTGCCCCCTGCTGGCTGACTGGGATACTCGCATCCGAAAACTAGCTACTAAAACACGAGGGTTATTTCACTAAAAAAAAAAAAAAAAAAAAAAAAAAAATAGACCATAATAAATATTTTCAAAACTCCTCCCACATTCAATGCAAGGTGAATGCGTTATTACTTGCGTTATTCAACATGTAAACAAGTATGCTCTAAAATTAAAAACAAAATTGTAACAGTCTGTGTACAATGGCACACAGTAAGTGCATTTGGTCCTGTAACTTCTGCTATCTCTCAACTTATCCACAACAATCCTGCCACTACCATGTTTCATGGTTTAGACTTAGAATTCCTATTGTCATTGCACAAAAAAACACAAGGTGAATCTTGATAACGAAATGTCGATTACTTGGCTACCAGTGTAACAGAGCTAAGGCCTTATTCCTGCACAATAAATATGTTTGACAATCTCTTTATAATTTGTTGTCCAAAAATTAATGACACCATTAATATATTCTTCTAGATGGCAAATAAAGACTTTATGAAAGGCATGTTATCTTTGAAATAAAAGGCCTATGTATAAAGATCTTTACTGCAAGTCTAAAAATTTTAAGAATATAAAACACAATTGTCTTTATGGAGAATACTATGGGGATTTTTTTTTCTTTCTGTAACTTTCTCCTGACTTATACCTTTGTACCGAAATAAATTAAATGTAAGAGCTGTTCTAATTCCAGGGATATTTTTTTGTATTGGAAGTTATCATGAAAATGAACACAAAAACTCTTAATCTGCAACTCCTTGCATCATGAAAACATATTGCACATTATGAGTTTACATTTCTGAATCTAATAACTGCTGCTTTTATTTGTTGAGATGACACTGTGCAGTTTTAACTGACTCCAGAGTGCAAAAAACATTCATGGCTAAAACAGCAGATCGGTATATTTTACAATTTCTTCTTGTGTCTTTAATTTATCTAAATAAATATTTGTATATAATTTTTGATAATAACACTTAAATATATATATAAAAAAAAAACTTTATTGTTGTTCTATCTTATTTGAACGGGTCAGTTTCCTCCGGAATGTTTGTCTGGTAACACCCCAAGAAGACCGACATCCGGTCGTTCCATTCATACTTCCGCTTTCCAGAATCGCTTTGGCAGCTTTTCTTTTCACTTAAAAACATACAGATTTTTCCTTTTGGTAATCTGTCGGCGTCCTCACACGGTAATATGACGCGGTTCTTGTTGTTGGTTGTAGTGGCTGCTCTGTCTCTTAGCCCTGCGGCGGTGAGCGGAGCCGACAAGAAGAAGCTGCAGATAGGGATCAAAAAGCGAGTGGACAACTGTCCCATCAAGTCCCGCAAGGGAGACGTGCTAAACATGCACTACACCGGGAAGCTGGAAGATGGCACGGAGTTTGATAGCAGCATCTCCCGGGACAGGCCCTTCACCTTCACCCTGGGCACCGGCCAGGTAATCAAAGGCTGGGATCAGGGTCTGCTCGGCATGTGCGAAGGCGAGAAGAGGAAGCTGGTTATCCCCGCCGAGCTTGGCTACGGAGACCGGGGAGCTCCTCCGAAGATCCCCGGAGGTGCAACGCTCATTTTCGAAGTGGAGCTACTGAGCATCGAAAGGAGATCGGACCTTTGATGCGGAAAACAATGGACAGGACGACTGCTTTAAGGATGTTTCTGTCCAAGTATGTTTTATTTGACATTTTCTCATTGCTAACAGATTCATGCTGCTACATGGTGATGCGTCTTAGCCGAATGAATAAGAGTAGTGTTGAAAAAATCAAATCTAAAAAAAAAATTGTTACTTTAATATTTATACATCTAAAAATGAAAACTAGAAGTAGAAAATCATAATAAATGTAACTGTATAAACATGTAAATTGATTTATTCCATAGATGCACAGTCTGATCGTAACCCAAAGTCTAATATTTTATTTTGTCTTTCAGGATCCAGGAACTGCTGCTGTAATAAATAGAGACCGCCTGACATATGAAGAAGGAGCAAGATCAGGGGAATGAATGTAATCCCAATGAGAGCTTCTATTCTTCTTTTACTGATTTGTTGGTTTTGTTTTTTTTTAAATAGGGGCTAATGAACTTATTTTGTGAAAGATGAACAAATGATGGCACATTCCTGCAAAGTGATTAGATGAAAAATATTCAGCAGCAAAGATTTTTTCTTTCAAAAGGTGAACAATGACATCACATCCCACCACTTTATCTTTAATTTCTGACTTCAAAGCAGGTTTCTTTACATTTCTACAGTCTTACTTCATGAATATTTTACATTAAACAGTAAATAATACATTTGTCTTTGTCTGTACTACAATAAAAATGATTACCTTATTGTTCCCTTTTAAGTGCTTATGGTGATTTCTTTTGTCTAAGCTGCCTCGGGTTTAAGATGTAATAGAAGGAGGCAAAACACTCCTGATTTGTAATTAGAAGTGTTTATACAACACCAGCAACTAGAAAAAGAACGAATACTTTGAAATTCTCTTGTCAGTCCTGGCACAACTCTGTAACACCAGAGACCAACGGAAAATCCTATAAAGTATTATAAAGTGTATCAAATATTGGGGGGGAAATTAAGCCTTTTAAATTTTGACATAACATATTTTATGTTTGCATTCATATGTTTATCTTATAAAATAAAGATTTAAATTAGAAAAATGTATTTCTTAAAATTGCAACATTTATAGGAAAATTATAATTTATGATTGAGGTGCTGCAGCATGCCATTTTTACTGTAACAGTCATGCACACTACTTTTATTGTAACTCACTAACTAGCTGCAAGACTGGTCATATAGATGGTCTTAATGCAGTGGGTGAATATTTTTTTTCTGAATATGAAATTACTTGGCAAAAGCTACTGCCAGCTAAGCGCTTAAAATTTAATCTGTACTCCTATGAATAATTTTACACATTTGATTTTTTTCTGGAATAAATCTTTTTTTTTTTTTTTTTTTTTTTTTTTTTTTTTTACAAATCACAAATCATGGATGTGTTCCATGTTTTTTTTTTTTACAAAAACATGGAACACATCCATGATGATTTTTGTTTTGTTTTTTACAATACACACACAAAAAAAAAAAAAAATATATATATATATATATATATATATATATATATATATATAAATTTCTATAGCATAAACATGAGTTTATGGCTTACTTTTTGTCTGCCTTTTAGATAAATATAGCCAAATATCTTTATCGAGAACCTAAAACAGGTAATGATTATAAAATGTCTGTAAATATGAAATGTTTTAACCTCTTACACCCTCAGGGGGTATAAGTACATTTCTGCCTGACAAAAACACACAAAAGTAAATCACTTATAGCCTCACAGCTATTAGATTTAAGAAGAAACTTTTGGTACGTCTGTAAAGGTAAGATGTCATAGAATGGTTTTCTGGTGTCAGCACCATTGTAGCTTTGACCCTGCCTGAAATATTAGGGACAAAATACAAAATATTTTGCATTTTTTGAACCTCGCCAAAATTTTCTTTGAAATAAACATTGCAAAACACTACCAAAATATTATTTATAGCACAAAAAAGTAGTACAGACTTTTAAATCTAAATGTTGTGTAAAAATCTACCATTTTTGGACTCAATCAGATGAATCATATTTATTTTAGAATGGTATTAGTGAGAAATTTCTTAGGCGGAGAGGCCATTTTGGCACATTTATCCAAAAATGTCACCAAACTGTGCCAAATGTGTTTTTTACATCAATACTGGGGGTTTGTTAAAATTACGAGGTCACGTAGCAGCTGGACCCACAGGTGGGTCCGTAGGGTTCTAGGGGTTAAGATTATATGACATAATTTACTTATTAGTATTTCAAAATTAAATGACCTTTTTTTGTCAGGATGATCTTTGCAAAATTCCACTCTTTGAATACATTTCTTAATGCATTGATATGTGGAATAATTTCCGGGCAACCGGTTCAAGGAAGAGCAGTCAAAGAAGGTTAATTTTTGTCTGTTACCAAGAGAGGTCGCTGCTCGAACCCACTTGTGCCGGAGCCATTTAACAGATGCACGCGTAAACCGGAAGTTCCGGTAGCTTTTTTGAGCTTTGAAAAGCAGCAGAGCGATTTGTCACGATTTTTCCACAATGTCTGTGAAGTTAAGCGCTTTGACTAGCGATTCATATATTGAAATCAGTCAGTACAGGGACCAACATTTCAAGGTGAGTGAAGAAAAACCTAATGAACAAACAAACGAGATGAATTCTGCTTTCAGTTCTTCTCCAAGTTGACCAGAGCAAAAGCTAACGGTTAAGGCGTTGATTGAGCTCAGCTTTGGCTACTATAAAGCTAATAAGCGCTTATCCGTTTTAGTTTATTTTGACCTGGATTAATCTTTCCCTTTAAACCGTATCGTTATCTATTCATTTACGTGGAAATTCTGGCAAACAAATACTATTATTCATGGAATTATATAAGGCATCAACAGAACAGTTAAGATATTTCTGCTCACAAGTTGTGCTAAACGTACTTAAACTATGTTTTCTTTAATTAAAGCACCTAAAAGAAACGGTAAATGCTAATATTATTAATAGATTATGTTTGCTCAAACTCATTTTTATAAACTCTTAACTTGCAGCGTTTACTCAATAGTCTTTGTTTATTAAGACAGCATTTCCTTAATGCTAATTATCAGTCATTGATTAACAGGATTGAGGCACAAATCCTGATATTTAATACATCGTTGTTTTTTTTGTTACCAATTCCTTTTATTCGTTTGGTAGTAAATATAGACCTTTTTCCCTTTTGATAACGAGGCTCAAACGAATTGGAGATAAAAAGTTTTAAACTGTGCCTTCATCCTATATTTTGATGCTGAATTATTAAGGCCTGTCACAATTCATTTTCAAACGGTCTACATAGTTTTTCCTTTTTTTCCACTCCATAGTTTCCACCTCTTGTAATGAATGATTCCTGAAATAACAAAAACTTAAAACATATTTCATTGATTTATTAAAAACTATATATAATTAGCTTCTTCCTAATTTCAAAGTATTTAAAAATCAGATTGCTGTTTAGTATATGGCAAGAAAAGATGTATAAAATTCCACTCCTTAAATGCACAAATCTTTGCGAACATAAAATGTACCGGTAAGTCCATTATAATGTTTATTTTATATTCATAGATAAAAAAACAAACATCTATTTAAATTAGCTTTGTGGAAGAGAGATTATTTTTCATTAGAGATGTCTAAGAAGGTGCTAATTAAAGCAACAAAGCTGCTCAGTCTGGGCGTTCTGCTGAGGTGCAGTGGTTTGCATGCATGTCCTATCTACAGAGGCCTCGCCGTGGCCGACCCGGGTACGAATCTGGCCTGTGGTCCTTGGCAGCATGTCTCTCCCCCTCTTTTGTACCCCTGTTCTGTCAGCTTATTTTGGAATAAGGAGCCACTAGTGTCACCTCAACCAAAAACGCCCTAGCTGAGGTGCAGTGGTGCAGAACCTAACCAGAAGTGAATATTTATATACCTTGACCCTGTCAAATTTTCTATTTTAATTATTTTTGTACTTTTGACATTTATTTTTGCAACACTCTAGACATTCTGTGGATGTATTATTGTTTCTTCTTTTTTATTCTTTATTTTTTCAATAGATCATTACCTTTAAGCAGTGGTGTGCACAGACGTTTTGAAGGACAGGGGCACAATAAAAAAAAAATAAAGCCTATATAGCGCAAACTCCCCACTCTAGGGGGGCACTTAAGCACACCTTTTTGCTCCCATCAATTTACTTTAGGACTAGCTTTGGCTCCCAATTTGGCCGCCTAGTGGTTAGGGCATAGAGCTTGCAATCCTGAGCCCCCCCCCCCAGTGCACAACACTGCCTAAGGAAGGAAAGATAAATCTTAGAAGGAGTTTTAAGTCTTGGCTGCCTCAGGCAGTTTTTACTCATTTTCACTGTTTCTTATACATCAGGGGAATCGCTATGAACAGGAAAAGTTGCTGAAGCAGAGCAACACACTTTATGTCGGGAACCTCTCTTTCTACACCACTGAAGAGCAGGTAAGATAAGTTAGAACTGGACATTAAAGTTTGAAGTAAAAGTAACCTAAATATTTAGATTTTTATTTATATGGCAATACATGCAGATTGAAAGCTAAAGTTTTTCTGCTTAATTGTCAGATGATAATTTTATTGGTTGCTATTGTTTTTTTTGTTTAGCAACTGTTGACTTACAAGATATACAATAGGCATCTAGATTTACAGCTAAACTCTGTTTAATTTGGATTGTGTGGAAGTTGAATAATCAGATCCATGAATTTTTTTTTTACTCTTTTATGCAAACAGGTGCATGAACTGTTCTCAAAGTGTGGCGATGTCAAGCGCATCATCATTGGCCTGGATAAAATCAAGAAGACTGCATGTGGATTCTGTTTTGTAGAGTATCCTTTCACTTGCCTTTTAGAATGCAAAATGCACTAGAAAATCTAAAGTTACATGTCTGAATGGTAAATGAAAACCTTTGTCTGAGGTGAACCTTAGCTGCTGCTGTATCAGATATTACACTCGGGGAGATGCTGAGAATGCCATGCGCTTCGTTAATGGAACAAGGCTGGACGATTGTATCATCAGGACAGACTGGGATGCCGGCTTCAAGGAGGGCAGACAGTATGGTCGGGGCAAATCTGGAGGACAGGTATGAATAAGGGCTTTTTAATGAGTGTTTAAAGTGTCAGCTCTGCTTAAATATATATAAAGAAAGCATAATGACCCTGCTAGAATCACGTATTGCATTTTTTTAGAAGATTGCTCATGTATTTGCTGGTTTCAGTTTTGACAGGTTTCCATGCCTTTATTTTATAAAGTTTAATCAATAATAAAATGTAGTCTTTCATTCTTTGATGCTTATGCTGATATGTGTTTAAGGCCATATTTCTGTCTTCTGCTGGCAGTCCAGCCCTGCTTTCCTTTTCACTACTTTTTCTGCTTCAAGCTGATATGTGGAGATATCAGATTGAAGCAGGTTTTAAAATATAGACCTTTAAAATATAGACCTTTTGATTCGTTTTTTTTTTTTTTTGGTTTGTTTTTTGTTTATCGTCTTTGTTTTAACCCCACCTGTTTTAATTTTGTTTTCTTTGTCGTGTTTTCTATGTGAATTACCATTGGAAACCAGATACCCTGAGTAAAAATGCACATAGCTTTTTATCCTCACTTTATGACATTTGATCTTTCTGTTTTTGGTCAGTTAGGACAGTTAACAATACCTGCATAAATTACATCCTAGAATATATTGCTTACATGCAGGTTTTTAGTGCTGCCTACAAATATTTTTTTTTTTTTTTTTAAACATATTAGGGATTTATAATGGTCATTCAAACATTAACACATTGGTTTTTGTGTTCCTTTTTAACTAATTTAATAGATGATCTGATGTCTTGAAGTTGCTTCAATATTTCAGCATAATGTTTTTGTCAACACCGTCCATGTGATTATAAATACATTAGAATCCAAACATCATTCATCTCTATGAAACCAATCCTGTCTCCTTCTTAAGCTATGTTGGATCGTACCATGTTGCTTATGCTCCTTCATGAATGTGATACCTTTCAGTTATCTAAATATTGTACCTGATGATAAACCAGATTTGTGGATTTTCACATTTTCCCTGCTGTGTGTTGTTGGAATATAATTCTTATATTAACAACAAAGTGAGATCTATGCTCTTCATCCAAGCAGCATTTATTAATTCTAGAAAGGGAGAACGGGTACAGTCGTGCCAATGTATTCTGCCTTTTCAGGTCACACAGGATTTCATTAACTACTTCAGAAGCACAGGGAGAGATTCTGATAAAGTAGATGGTTTTCCACAAACATGATTGTGGGGGAAAAAAAACCTTGAGTCTTGATTTAGCCTTTTACTAAAACATCTAAAACTGGAAAACAGTGTTTGAGGCACCAGTAAGACAAGGCCCACATTCAGCGTTGTCTTGTAGGTACTCTGCTTAAGCAAATACCTTTTAAAGTAAGTACATGAAAATCAGTAGTCATACGTAATATTAGAAGGGATGTGATGAGAATTTTTTTTCCCCCGACATGTGTTTAAAGTGTATTATTATAATGCACCCAGAGGTTTTCACTTTGACTTGAATGTTGTGAATTAACCTGTTATCTTACAAATCTACTGCATAGGTTTACGAAAAATGTTTAAATGCACAGAAATCTAACATGATGTACATTTCTCTATTGTGAGAATGTAATAACAAATTCCCTTTTCATATGTTGATTTATTCTGTTTATTCTGATTCGTTGCCAAAAATTAAGACATGAAAACACGTCTGAATGCATTTGCCCCTTTTATTTTTGCTTTAGGCTTTTTTTTCTTTGTTGTGCAGGTAAGGGATGAGTACAGGCAAGACTACGACCCAGCCAGAGGCGGCTACGGTAAGCTGTCCCAGCAGCACCGAAGTACAGAGAGACCCAACTCTTTTTAGATGGCATCCCTCCAACAGTCTGCTTTGACTGCAGTCCTGGACAGATTAATTATTCAGAAAGCCACAACAGCAAGCATGACTGGTAAAGATGAAGGAAGACTCCTCAGATGGACCATTTGATCCGGAATTGGATATCAATGCAGCAAAGGTGGTGCATGGAGCAGAGATAAAGATCTAGTTCAACTAACTGCTCGGTCATCTTTACAAACACTTCAGTAAATTTTTAGTCAAGCATTTATTTTGTCTTTTTAAGTTGGGAAAAAAAAATAAATCTTGTTACACTGATTCTAACTCATCAGTTAAGTTGCTTTACCACAAACTGTTAGAAACTACCTTTGTTTATTTTTTTTGTTTTTTAAATAAAGTTTTTCTAATAACTCAATGAGACCATGTTCTTTATTTTTCCTGTTTTTTTTTTTCAGTCCGATCATCTCAACAAAAGAACAGGTTGCTGTATTTTCCCCTAAGTTTATGTTGCAAATAAAATTTTGACTGAAGGAAAATGAGCTTTAAATTGTTTAGAATATGTAGCAAAGTAAGGTGGGGAATTAACTTCCAGTGTTTTGTCATTTATAGGCACTTAAAAGTGCAAACTAAATGGAAAAAAAAAAACGTATACATTTTTGTTCCAGTGTTAATTTTGTTTTCTCTCCTGAATGAAATTTCTCTGCCTAAATCTTTTTTAGTTGCACACATTTGGTCCCAAGCAAAGCTGACCTAATAAACAATTTTAAGGCGTTAATGTTTAAGGTAAAATTGAGTCCTAAATTTTATGTCAATTCTTCACATTTAAGCACTATCCAGATAGTCAGCCTAGAACCCCCTAAAGTATTAAAAATGGAGAATAAATTGTAAACTCTGGCGTTGAACAGGTTAAGCAGAATGGATCTATATGAAATATTTTTCTCATACAATTACTAAGACTAACAATGGGTATATTTTGTATTTTATTTCTCCAGGTGCTGCCATGTAGTGACAGCATTCAGCGAGGTATAGCTAATTGCTTTGGTGTTTTCCAAACACTGCTCCTGCAGACACCATGTCCCGCATGTTTTTGATGTTTCTCTGGTTCATTAAACCTGATCTTAATTGATGGCGATTAACAAGTTTTTGCTCATTTGCCATCATCAAAATCAGATACGCCAGAAGCAGAGTTGTTTTACTGTACTTGCCTATTTCTATCCGTTTAGGCTAAGTTAAGTTAGGTTTTTCCCAGTGTGTTCTGTTTTATTATCCTCACTGTTTGTGGAATGATGTGGAAGTCTTTCTGATCAACTTTTTCTCTTGTGTTAACAAATTAATGCATCAGCTTTAAAATATGTACTAGTAAAAAGGAACACCAGATGGCAGTAAAGGAGGTGGATTTTTCCCCTCTTGGAACAATGGGCTCCATGCACAACTCAACTTTGTGCCTGACCTCAGTAACCATGGCCACATACATCTAGATTAATCACTTCATCCAGGAGAAAAAGAGAGGAAACAAAAGAGCTGCCTTATGTTCAGGAAGTAGTGGAGTTTTGTATAGAGCCCAATGTGGTAAAACTGCAAAAATTTGAACTTACAAGTGAAATCTGGCTCTGTAATTATGATATAAAGTTCTAGTTCCATTAGAGACGTTTAATAAAAGGAAAAAGATGAGTTCTCTTATACAGCACTTGTGCTTTCTGTACACTGATTCAGTTTAAGTACAAAATCTCATTTAAACTTAAATATAAGATGTTATTGAAGATGTGAGCACATCATGCCTTCATGCTTAAGCTCACACTGGCACTGCAGAGATTTAATTTGCGCTGCTTGTTTTCTCTGCAAAATCTCTTATCTCCATTCTCAGCCTCCTTTATTACACCACAGGTGGCTCACCAGCCTCATCTTGGAGGATTCTAAACCCGTCTTTATGATGACAGAGAATCTCCATACAATCCATAGGAGCTCTATGCATCCATATGTGTGTATTCGACATGAGTATCCCTCCCGTTTTCATGCGTGCATGATTTCAGCACAAAGGGATGGAGCTAACTGAGCCATTAAACTCCAGTACATCTGTGTAGTCCACATTTCCATTAACGATTATTCATCTGGTTGATCCCATTCAGATGGGGTCAAGTCAGAATTAAAATGGGCTAAGCCTTCCTGCTGTAAAAACTTGGTAATGAAGCAATAAGAGTGGTAAATCATCCACCAAAATAATAAAAATTTCTAACATCCAAAAACAAGTCCTGATCAATAATATCTTTTTTTTTAGATATATATTCCTCTTAAACTATTAGTTTTTATTTTAAGACGGTTCAATTAAGTTAATCTAGACAGATTAAGTTCAAACAACATATAATGGTAACATAAAAACATAATACCAATCTGTGGGGGGGGGAAAATCTAATCATGCTTTTGAAAAGTTACAAGAACTAGATATTGCCACCTTTTGAAAACAAAATAATTTTTTACATTTTATCCTGCATTTACCAGCAGTTTTTTTTTCTACAGGACCAAGCATCATACTACTTCATGATGTAATCAAGTCAAACCTACCAGGCGTTTCACATGTCCTTTTTCAGGGAGAGATCTCATTAGTGTTTAGTATTTTACTGGTTTTTGGTTGGTTTCGAAACCTGATAAGAATAAAGTGCTGGGGGTTTTATAGTAAAGCTGAACAGTGGAGCTGTGATGTGGCATTTCGTGGCCATCAAAGAGAAGGTATATGTGGAAAATGAGGTGCGTCATCTGTGTGGATATTTTACAGTCAGTCTACATGTCGCTCTTATTGTTGGACTTGATCCACACAGTGCAGTGTTGTGCGATTTGGCTGACAAGGAATCCCAGAAAAGGATTTGACAGGTATCTGCTGTGTGCTGAACCTAAAAATATTTTCCCTTTCCACTTGCCGGCTGCTTTAATTTTTTCATCATCTGCTGTGATATTCAATTTGTCATCTGATGCACTCTGATAGGTGATACAAAACTGGAGTCTTAACAGCAGGTAAGAGTTAAGATAGGCTGCTGTGTAACTTTTCTGAGGAATGCATTAATGTTAATGTGAGTGCTTTTAAAGGGAAAGAAAACCTTATCAGAAATTGCTGATGTTAAAGAATGCACATACATTATTTTTAAAAGGTCCCAATGTTGTGCAAATTAATAGCCTAAAAGCAGCGGGGACCTGTTATTTTTTTCCCAGCCTGTCATTATTTGTTATCATCTTTACTGGATTACTCCATTTGCAGAGGTATTTATGGCAGGTTCACCACCTAGTTATGCATACCTGTGTAAAACAGCAGGTCTTTGAAAAAAAAAAAAAAAAGGCAATTTCAAGCTTATAAAATTCAGAATTGTGTTACTGGCTATTTGAAGGTGATTTCAAGGGGTTTTGTTGAAGTTATCTTAATTTTAAACCATACAGAGTTTTTCTAGTCAACATAGATTTTCATGTTTATGATAAGATTATTTTGCTGAAGAAAAATCAAAGTACAGCTTCCTTCCAGTAAAGACTTGAAAATGTTATAGGGTTTGGTTTGTGACTTCAGATAATGTCTATGGTAAGGTTATATTCTGACTTATAAAGAGGTCAAACATATGCATTACTTAAAAGGTATATTCTATCAGCTTTCCCATTTTGAAAAAAATGGAAAGGGAAAGAACATAGTGGCCCTGATATGTGATGGTATGGAAGGGTACTGAAAAGCTCCTGGACATTTAAAAATTAAAGTGAGGTAAAATTACTTCAGTCGAGGGTTATTTGAATAAGTTTGGCAATGATGTTTTGTAAAAATCATAGATGTAAGAAGTTTTTTCCCTTTTGATTAAATATTACTATTTGAAGTGGAAATGAAACAGGCAACAAAACTAACTTAATTCACAAGATTGTGTCTTACGATTATTAATAGTTATATTACAAATGTAAAAAATATTAACTTAAAAAAAAACAATGCTTTGTTTACTAATTTTTTTCTGGTAAGAACGCTGCCATGTTGCAGCACTACACACAGTGATGTCACGGGGTTGGTCGATGCTTCAGCTAGCAATTGAATGCATTTGATATACCAGCGATACATCACAACCATAAAACACTTAAAACATTTGGTACGATGAAAGACGAAGCTGCAAGGACAGTGAGCCCTTTAAATCACATTGCTTATGCTTTTGAGCCCATTCGCCGTATAAATCGAGCAGTAGGAAGGTGAGAAGAGACAGTTTTGGTCAGCAGCAACAAGCATGCAGAGCAGTAGAACAAACAGTAATGTTGGCAGGTATTAAATCATCAACTATTCCCTTATCTCAAAAACAAACATTCATAACTAGTGCTACGTTTTCTGCCTTCATCCCTATTTGAGCCTCTTCGTAACATGGATTATAATATTATTGTTATTTAAGAACTTTGATTGACAGACACCTCTCAAAATATAAAACTAAGAAAAAGGAGTATTATCTTTATTTCTATTTAATAGAAAATAGCATGTCCACATTTATTTCTGCTCTATGAATAACTGGTGATGACTTTCAGTCTTTGAGGTTAAGGGCCACATTGCCAGCACCCTAATCTTTTCCTCCCTTAAAAGGTATGGTTTCTGTTTCGCTAACAGAGGACTAAGCACCTCCTCATTATTATTACTGCCACTCAGAAGGAACAGGTCGGTTAGAAAAAATGAAAATTAAACCTTAATCTGCCACGTTTGCGAGGAGCTGTGAAGTATTTGCAGATGATGCAACCATTTTATACTCTGGGAGCATTTTCAGCTGTTGGTAGCCGTCAGAAAACAAACCGATACATTTTAATGTGGGTTTTATACAAACAGTTTACCTTTAAATTTAACAAAACCAAGTAATTTTTGAAAAGTGAGTTATTTATACAAATGTAACCCTGGATATCAATAACGTACTAACTGAACGAGTGATTGAAAATATGTTTCTAGGTGTCATTTGGGATGACAAGCTTTGTTGGAAACCCGTTATTAAACGCAGGTAAAAACATAGCCAAAACTATAGGGATACTAGGAAAGCTGAGAAATATCTTGAACAAAACTCTGCCTACTCTACTGCATCATGTTACCGCCATCTTTAGATTGTTGTGTTTTAGTCTGAGGTAAGCCCTCTCTTAAAAAATTATATATAATGCAAAGAGGAACAATCTAGATGGCTTGGAGCTGTGGAGGACGCTTTGATTGTAGGGGGAGGGTAAAAATGAGAATGGAATGCCCTCTTTCCTCCACCTGAAGTGGGAAAGTAGTTGTTGCAATGCCAATAGAGGGACCACCCCATGTGCATGTCTAGCTCTGTGGCACAGGTTGGAAAGTGCAA